GAATCCACGCGACAACCGGAAATGTCATTACTCTAGCCGAGAGTCGCGATGGGGCCTGACACTCAAGTAGGGTCATGTCTTGACTGTAGGACCCCATCGCGGCTCTTGGCTCTCATTACCCAAGCTGTATATAATTTCAATGTGTACATTCGGCACAATAAAATGTGTATGCAAATGTCTGTGAAGCAATATTGAATGGATTTTAAGTAATGTTGGACTGTTTTACGCTGAAGTTAGCAATATTTTGGTTTGAAAACACCATATCCCTGTTTGAGGTGGTGAAATGAGGTTTACGGTCGCGTTCAAGATTATTACACTTACAAAGCCATGTGTACGTGTGTGTAAGTGTGTGTGACTCCGAGCTGACCAGTCTTTGTTTAATCCCCATATTGAGTGAGTGAGTGAGTGAGTGAGTGAGTGAGTTGGGTTAAACGCCGCTTTTAACAGTATCCCAGTTATATCACGGCGTGTCAGCCCCCCCCCCCCCCCCCCGTCGTCTGAGGGGTGGGTTCGAATCCTAGTTCGCCGTTACGTTTCTCGGTTTGTCAGCACCATACCGATTCTCGTGGGTTTGTTATATGGCAGTGTAATTTATTGTTAAACAATGATTGTAACTATATTACATAGTTTCTGTTGTGATTCAGTGGAAGTTCATTGCATTGCATTTGGACAATGATTACTTATTAGGAATGTTTTACTTATTAATGTAAGCAGTGGTTAGGAAGTTGTTAGGCTAGTAGTAAACTTCCAGAATAGCATGGATGGATGTCAAGCGTTATAGAAACATGTGGAATATTCTGTGATGTTCTAATGACTCTGGACTGGTCAAGCCTTGTGTGGAAAGTGCGGGCTTGTAGTTAACGTAGTTAATTTTTTTAATACAATTGTTGATTGTATGCCATTTGTTGGTTTCACACTTAATTCATTTACGTACAAATTGTTTCAATTTGGGAATTGACATGTAACAGGTTTCACCAAAGTGGTAAACGTCTTGGACCTGCATCACTTTGGGCTTTCCTCCCACATAAAGCTGGCACGCCATGATATAACTGGATGGCTGTTCAAAGCCACTAAACCAAACTCATTCACTCATCCCAGTATTGTTGAGTGCCAGGAAGGGTAACAACAAGTACCATCTTTTGAGTAGGACACAGCATTGGGACTGAACCACCAACCTTCCGTCCGGTCAAACGTTCTGTTCTGTCCTGTGTTTCCACAACCTGCAAGCCTCTGTGTTCTTGCATCACTGTTGGCTCTGCTACCACCCTGAGATGTAATAAACTCATATCACTCGTTAGGTGAGTTGTAATGGGGTTTAACGTCGCGTCCAAGATTATTGCACTTATATAGCGACGTGCATGTGTGTGTGTGTGTGTGTGTGTGTGTGTGTGTGTGTGTGTGTGTGTGTGTGTGTGTGTATCTGCTTGTACTATTCCGGACTGATGCCGATTTATAGTGCTAGCACACTGGGATACCATGCCGCAGTTTAACATGAATACCCCACTCAGACACAGTACACTGACTCCGAGTCGACCAGTCCATGTTTTAGCCCCTTAATGCCGAGCGCCAGACAGGGTAACAACAAGTACCATCTTTTAACGTCTTTTGGTATGACGTGGCTGGGGATTGAACCCCGGACCTTCCGCTCTCCCGGTGGACGCTCTACCATTAGACCACAGAGGCGGTCTCACTCCTGTTCAACTCACCCATTCGAGTTACACAAAAACGCATAAATAACACAAACATAACACACAACAGACTTTGTAGTTTTCTTGTATGTATTTATTTAGTATTTTCTGGATTTTTTCCCAGTTTTATAAATTTAACATACACTGAATATTTCGTTTCAGCAATCAAATTCCACACAAAATGCATCACTGTCCTGGCAGTATTGGATATAAAAATATTAAATGAATGTACCAATGGATAAAACAAACAATTTTGAAAAAAAGGCCATTAACAATTGGTAACAGATAAGGCCCACTGTCTGGGCTTCTCTACAACAGGGTGAAAACATACCTCCACTTACAGAAGTAGCATCTAATCATACCTAACTCACGGGGAAGAGAAATCAAAATCAACCTGGATGGCCTCCCTTGTTTTGGCATTGGCACGAAGAAGATGGATGTATTCAGATGGTCGGCAATAACACATCTTCAAATATCTACACCATTATAAACCGAACAAAACAAATTAGGTATTAATTTTTTGGGGGGAAAAAATGCTGAAATATATTCATGATCCCAAATCTTTTTCAGTATAATCCCATTCTATTACGATAATACCCTAGACCCATTCACCATCAAACCTCCGTGTTGTAAGCAACATCACCATCTCTTATCTCAACAGCAACTCTTTACATTCAATCCATGTAGGGAATCGAACCCGGGTCTTTGGCATGACAAGCGAACACTTTAACCAATTGGCTACCCCACCGCCCCCAAATAAGTATAAAGAAATTTGATAACCCAAAACTATAACACCACCAAATGTAGCTCTTTCAGTTTGTGTACACGTCTGTCCAGGGGCCCGTTCCACAAAGCGACCTAAGCGCTAAGTCTGTCGTAAGTCAGTGTTAAAGTATGGGAGTTACGAACATCTTAGCGCTACGATCGCTTTGTGGAACGGGGCCCAGATCTTTTCTTACTGACTGCATGCATCACCAACACATGAATTCAACTGCAGTGAATAATGCAACATCTGCTTATTGAATGAGTGAGTGAGTGAGTTGGGTTTAACGCCTCTTAACAGTATTCCAGTCATATCACGGCGTGTCAGCTTAATGTTGGAGGAAAGCCCGAAGTGATGCAGGTCTCAGACGTTTACCACTTCGGTGAAACCCACGAGCACGGGTATGGTGCTGACAAACCTAGAAACATAATCGGGGCGAACCATGATTCGAACCCACAACCAAAGGTTTCTGGCATGCCCAAGGGACGCAACTCTGCACAGCGAATTGCGGCACCTTAGACGACTGAGCAACCCGTACCCCCTCTGCTCTTGGAAATTTAGACGTGTATCACTGTTATGCGACATGTAACCAACTTGGGACAGCACAAGAACATTACAATTACTTTTGAAGAAGTCTACTCATCGGTTTACAGTACACAAAACACTGTGCCCAAGAGACCAAACGTGTTGAATACCAAAGGAAAACTATCACTACCCAAAGTAAATGATACCGTGAGTAAATACTCATTGGCTCCCCCCCAAAATATCTGGCACCCTGGAAAAATGCAAATATGATGTACATGAAATCTGCTTGTTACAGAGAAAAATGTGTTTTGATTGCTGCAGAAGACGATAATGAATATTTATAATCATCAAATATATTTTGTTTGTATTCGGATATGGGACATCTTTCATCATTAGCATCACAGGTCGTAACTGTCCTTGTCAATGTTTAACTGAGAGAGTGTCTTATGATCGATGATATGTTCTTGTAATGTTTAATATACAACCTTCACTGTCCCAGGTCGCAAACACTTGGCTGCAATTGCAGATCAAGAAGAGATGAAGCAAGTGTGCTCCCCTTTCATCTTATGGACACTTAACGGGTCCAACAGTGAGTGAGTGAGTATGGTTTTACGCTGCTTTTAGCAATATTCCAGCAATATCACGGCTGGTGACACCACAAATGGGTTTCACACATTGTACCCATGTGGGGAATCGAACCAAGGACTTCAGCGTGACAAGCGAATGCTTTAACCACTAGGGTACCCCACTGCCCCTTTCGCAATTGGGATACGATGACACTCTTAAAATATGTCAGCGAGCCTGGCCACCCGATACCGTTAGTCATCTTACGACAAGCACAGTCGTCTTTTACGGCAAGCATTAGTTGTAAACTGGGTCAAACAGAGAAGTCCCTTCATATAATTCCGTGTATTTGGATGTGGGGGCTAGGGATGTCATTGTATATCATTATATTGATGAATCAGTAATTATTTATGTTGATGCTGTATCGATACAAATTTAGGAATATCGACACTAGTTTATAATTCACTGCCACAGAAACATTAACATTTAATAAGATTACCATGGTTAAGATGAACAAAGAGAAGGCAGATAATTCACTCTTTAACATTTACTGGATCAGCCATGTTCATACTTCGCATCAGATTGATTAATTGTAGGTCTACAAAGGTAATGTTTATCTATACATATATATAACAATAATTAATCTTACTATTAATGCCCATTGATATAGTCATACTTTTGAGTTGACAGGTCAATGCTAATATTTCAAACCAATGACATCCCAAGTGCCACCCCTTCCCCCACTCTTATCAATTCCTGGATTTGCCTCTCGGTCCCATTCCATGAAGATATCAAAGTGCTATAACTTTCATAAGTCTACGTGAAAGTATGGGAGTTACGACCATCTCTGCACTACAACTGTCGTAAGTCTATGTAAAAGTATGTCTGTTATGATCGTCTTCATGCTACGACTGACGTAAATCTATGTGAAAGTCTGTCAGTTATGGTAGTTTTAGTGCTATGACTGTCGTAAGTCTGTGAAAGTATGTCAGTCATGATCGTCTTCATGTCATGACTATCGTAAGTCTACGTGAAAGTATGGCAGTTACGCACGTTTTAGTGTACGATTGTCGTAAGTCTGTGAAAGTATGTCAGTTACAATTGTCTTTGTGCTACGCTGTCGTAAGTCTACGTGAAAGTATGTCAGTTACGCACGTTTTAGTGTACGATTGTCGTAAGTCTGGGAAAGACTGTCGGTTACAATTGTCTTTGTGCTATGACGGTCGTAAGTCTATGTAAAAGTATGTCAGTTATGGTCGTTTTAGTGCTACGACAGTTGTAAGTCTATGTAAAAGTATGTCAGTTATGGTCGTTTTAGTGCTAGGACTGTCGTAAGTCTGTGAAAGTATGTCAGTTACAATTGTCTTTATGCTACGACTGATGTAAGTCTATGTAAAAGTATGTCAGTTATGATCGTCTTAGTGCTAAGGCCACTTTGTGGAATGAGGCCCTGTTTTCCGAGTCCAATTATTGACAAACTCCCATATGATCCAATAAATAACTGATACCTAACATTAAAAACAAAACAAACCTGTTGGTTGGTTACTTATTGAGCCATGGAGGAGGTTACTTTATAAGGGTATGGCACATTTTCAGTATTGAAATTGACAGTAACAAAGGCTTCATATATATGGGTTGATAGTCAAACATTTACTAGGTCTGATAACATAAACTGGTCCTTACTTTAACACTAATAAAAAAATAAACATTTTTCTTTTATCTTTGTAGCAACAGTTACTCACTAAATAAACAGTGTTGTGAATCACAGCAACCCTTCTGGACACTGCTGGAAATTCAACTACTAAATCTTGTCGTTCAGAGGATAATTACAGTTTTGTGTAAGACAGAACTAGCAAGTAGGACTTTAAGTGTTCTTTGGGCACACTTAATGTCAAAAGTTTTGAGAATGGATGAACTCTACAGAACCAGTTGTGCTGTTCCTGACCTCAATGTCCAAAGATGTCCCACATTTCTGGGCCCCTGGTTCAATCATTCACTGACTATGTGACTATTCTCTATATTCATATGTTAACAGCCACCTAAACTCTGGACGGTTGAACTTGACCACCAACCATGATCTCGACCTCTGAGCTTGACCTTGACATTGAACTGTGCTACCTCCACTAAATGTTTCCTACACTTAAGTTGGACTTTCTAGAACATGAAAGTGTAGTATTGTTGAATATTCAGACAGATCAACATTTTCAATCATTCACGAACATCTAAATAATTGGGTTTTATTCAGAGTGATTAGAAGGTCAAGGGTGAAACTGTTCATGACCTTGACCTAGATTGTGCTGTGACAACTGCGACTATGTTGATGGTCTAGATTCTGTTGGGGGTGACATGACCGAAGTGATCCTTGATGACCTGCTGGGCCATCTTCCTCCGACCCTCCATCAGGTCCAGGTATAGCTTGAGGAAGTACATCTGTGCTGGGAGGGGCGTGCCGATGTTCCGCGAACTCTGGAACATGCAGAAAACATGGTTCATGAACACATGAATGTAATCAGCAATGTTTGTTTGTTTAATGCCACTGTGAACAATATTCCAGCTATATGGTGGTGGTCAAGCCTGGACCAGACAATCCAGTGAGGGAAAAGATGACACGCTGTCCTCGAAGTCACCAGACCCTGACCATCTCATCAAAATTTGTTCGTCTTCCAAATTGTTCCAATCAACCCCCTTATTAGACAGTCAAGTGTGTGCTTATTTTCTTGGTAAATTCCAGAGCAAGTAATCCCATATGGTGAAATACTTCTTAAGCAAAAGGGTTCAGCAAACTAAATACAACTTTTAAAATTCAAAATTAGGTCAACATTGCAGCAGCATGAACTTCCTCTGTGAGATGTGTCATGAGTTGCTCATAGTTGCACCTACATCTGTGAGATGTGTCATGAGATGCTGACAGCTATTTTTGTGAGATGTGCCATGAGTTGCTGCACCTAACTCTGTGAGATGTGATGAGTTGCCGACGGATGCACCTACTTCTGTGAGATGTGTCATGAGCTGCTGACATAAGCACCTACCTCTGTGAGATGTGTCATGAGCTGCTGACATAAGCACCTACCTCTGTGAGATGTGTCATGAGCTGCTGACATAAGCTAGTACCTCTGTGAGATGTGTCATGAGCTGCTGACATAAGCACCTACCTCTGTGAGATGTGTCATGAGCTGCAGACAGATGCACCTACCTGTGTGAGATGTGTCATGAGCTGCCGACATAAGCACCTGCCTCTGTGACATGTGTCATGAGCTGCTGACAGATGCACCTACCTGTGTGAGATGTGTCATGAGTTGCCGACATAAGCACCTACCTGTGTGAGATGTGTCATGAGCTGCAGACATAAGCACCTACCTCTGTGAGATGTGTCATGAGCTGATGACATAAGCACCTGCCTCTGTGACATGTGTCATGAGCTGCTGACAGATGCACCTACCTGTGTGAGATGTGTCATGAGTTGCCGACATAAGCACCTACCTGTGTGAGATGTGTCATGAGCTGCAGACATAAGCACCTACCTCTGTGAGATGTGTCATGAGCTGCTGACAGATGCACCTACCTCTGTGAGATGTGTCATGAGCTGCTGACAGATGAACTTACCTCTGTGAGATGTCATGAGCTGCAGACAGATGCACCTACCTCTTTGAGATGTGTCATGAGCTGATGACAGATGAACTTACCTCTGTGAGATGTGTCATGAGCTGACGACATAAGCACCTACCTCTGTGAGATGTGTCATGGCCTTGTCATACTCCCCCCTCATCGCATGAGCGGCTGATAAGTTGTACTGCATCACTGCTTTGGCACGAGACAAATCTTTCGGGAACCAGGGATACAAAGAACCTATGACATAAGCGAACGTTATTATCATTCAAGTTTTCCTCCACAGTTCTACATGCTTATTAGTTGTTTCAAATCTTCACCAACTGTGAGTGATAAAGTGAGTTTAATTAACAGAATTACATTTAAATCTCTGCTTGTCAGTTTTATGTGAGAGAAAAGATCAAACTCAAGCAGGTTGTAGACGTTTACCACTTTGAGGAGACCCGTGAAGATCTGGGTCAGAAAAGGTCTTCAGCAACCAATGTTAGTCATAAGAGATGAATATGCTTGTCATAACAGACGACTAATGGGATCGGGTGATCAGGCTCGCTGACTTGGTTGATGCATGTCATCGTATCCCAATTGTGTGGATCATGATGTCAATCACAGGATTGTCTGGTCCAGACTTGATTATTTACAGACAGCCGTGAAAAAGCTGGAATATTGCTGAGTGCGGCGTTAAACACCAAACAAACAAACAAAACCACTTTGATGAAACTGATGAACATCAAAACTTGAACCAGAACCTGAACCAGCTACAGTAATGATGCTGCTGAGATTAGATTGCAGGTCAAGTCATCAAGACAGAGAACCTGATGCAATTTAGTTACCTCTTGAAAGCAGTGCATGGAAACTATTCTAACTCAGGTCCACACAGGGTGCATCTTGATTAACAAATATATGACTACTGACAAAACCGTCATATGTTGTTGGGGACCTATCCTCACCTGGACTCCCATAAAGGGTCTGAAGTTCTCTCACAAAGCCTGACACAAGTTGTTTCTCAAATCCTGACACAAGTTGTTTCTTAAATCCTGACACAAGCTGTTCCCCAAAAACCCTGTCACAAGTTGTTTCTCAAATCCTGACACAAGTTGTTCCACAAAAACCCTGACACAAATTCTTTCTCAAACCCTGACACAAGTTGTTCCCCGAACCCTGGCACAAATTGTTCCCCGAACCCTGGCACAAATTGTTCCCCGAACCCTGGCACAAATTGTTCCCCGAACCCTGGCACAAGTTGTTCCCCAAACCCTGGCACAAATTGTTCCCCGAACCCTGGCACAAGGTTTTCCCCAAACCCTGGCACAAATTGTTCCCCGAACCCTGGCACAAATTGTTCCCCGAACCCTGGCACAAGTTGTTTCTCAAACCCTGACACAAGTTGTTCCCCAAACCCTGGCACAAGTTGTTTCTCAAACCAAAACACAAGTTGTTTCTCAAACTCTGACTCACTAATGACCTACTTTTGGCTTCTGTGCTGTCTGCTAGTAGGTCTTTCTCTCCTTTGTCATTTTTGTCAGCTCTGTCTGCAACAAAAACAAGGACATCGCAGTGGTGGATCAAGCGTGTGACATTGGGGTTTGATTGATCCCATTTTCAAAATCAAATAAGTCGAGCCACAAGGCTCTGTACCTCAAATGAGTTATGAAAGAATAATGGCGGTCAGGTTTAAAGCAGTGGACCGGTAATTCTTGTGACTGCCAGTCCCTGTGGACCAGTATCTTGTAAATCTTTGTTGTCGATAGTCAAATTAGTCAAAAAAGTATATTTTATGAACAAAGTCAGCTTGTCTGTTGTAATCAGGGTTTCCCCGTTGTCAATTCTTAGGGCAAAGAAATAATATTTCGCTTTGAATGAAAATGATGTTGAAAGAATTAAAACCAAGTAATTTTCATACAATTATTTGTTCAAATTTGAGAACTTGTGAGGGACTGGTAATTTTCATAGTTGCCAGTTTCAAAAGCCAGCGGGAACTCTGGTTTAAAGTAAGACTGGAATTCTGTGTGCAGTTTTAGAGACATCCTAGCTGGGATCAATGGTACAATGTTTCGGCTACACAGGCCGTGCACTTTCACTGGAGACAGGTGTGTAGGAAGGTCCAATATTAAAATATGCTAAAAAGATATGGTATTCAGCAAACCCCATACATCAATACTAAATGTAATAAAACAAGCAGAATGGATGAACAGTAGGCAAAAATGACATTGTCAAGACGAATCGGACTTCTGTGAACACTGTTAGAGTCACCACAGCTGGGACTACTGTTCATGCAAAGTTTCAGTTTCATAGGCTTTGTAGTTTCGGAGGAAATGTTGAAAATGTAAACGGACAGAGGACGGACAGGCGACGATAACGTCGTGCCACAACACTAACTCACCTGACTCTCAGTCAGGGTTGGGGTGGTCGGGTAGCCTAGTGGTTAAAGCGTTCGCTCGTCACGCCGAAGACCTGGGTTCGATTCCCGACATGGGTACAATGTGTGAAGCCCATTTCTGATGTCCCCCGCCGTGATATTGCTGGAATATTGCTAAAAGCGGCGTAAAACCATACTCACTCACTCAGTCAGGGTGACCAACAACATGGCTACCAACCACTCCGGCAGCCTTTAGTACCATTTGATGCTCAGGTTAAGCTCTGCAGGTTTCTTACCTTGATCAGACTTGTGTTCCGGTGGACATGTCCCGATGTCTGTGACCAGGTCAGGGTTCAGATGTTCGATGGAATCAGGTATCTTGTCCAGCTGCACCTGGGCCTCAGCTACATACAGGTGACCAATGTACCTGAAACAAGGCAGGCCATAACTTAAATGACATTCGCACACAGCCTTTGAATTCTGTATGTTTAACACTGTGTACAGTTTCTGTCAGTTTTATTCAGGTCCAAAATAAGCATTGAGATCAGGTTCAGAATTATAGCCCTCAAATACTATTGCCAATGAGGACTACCACAAAGTGATTTTCACTTTTCCTCAGCACAGTCTCTAGAGGACTAGCATGATTCGTTCATTCGTTTGCTGTTTAACGCCGGACTTAGCAATATTCCAGCTATATGATGGCAGTCTGATAATCCAGTGATTGACATCATGAGCATCGATCCATGCAATTGGGGTAAGATGTCATGCATCAACCAAGTAAGCGAGTTTGACCACCCGATCCCATTAGTTGCCTCTTATGAGAAGCATAGTTGCCTTTCACGGCAAGCATGGGTTGCTGAAGACCTATTCTAACCCAGATCTTCACGTCTCTAACGTACAAGCATGAATTACAAAGGCTGCCATATTTCTGAAAAGAAGGTGTGATAGTGACTGACCCTTTTTCGCCAAGAGCATCTACATTATGTAAGTATTTGAAAAAACTGTTTTGAAAGTTATAAGATATGTTCATATGACTGAGCTAGACATTGTGTACATTTTAAGAGGTGTGTTTTGGACTCATAACAATACATATGTATACACAATTATCAATTTCCAGCCATAGAGTGGTGAAATTGGGTTTAATGTCGCGTCCAAGATTATTGCACTTATATAGCGACGTGCATGTATGTGTGTGTGTTTGTGTGGCTGCTTGTACTAGTCCGGACTGATGCCGATTTATAGTGAAAGCTCACTGAGATACCATGCTGCAGTTTAACATGAATACCCCACTCAGACACAGTATACTGACTCCGAGCCGACCAGTCCTTGTTTTAGCCCCTTAATGCCGAGCGCCAGACAGGGTAACAACAAGTACCATCTTTTAACGTCTTTTGGTATGACGCGGCCGGGGATCGAACCCCGGACCTTCCGCTCTCCAGGCGGACGCTCTACCACAAGACCACGGAGGCGGTCTCCAGCCATAGAGAAACAGCTTGTAAATAATTAACTCTGGGCAGGGCAAGCTTGTGTTTGGCACCACAAAGAAACCCAATCAACCAGGGCACACGTAGTCACCTCATTTCATGCTACTCTCATTACAAGCATGGGAACGTGTGATTGAGCTTGGACAGTATTTCAGTTATATCATGGCGGGTCAGATCGATGTGGGAGGAAAGCTTTAAGTGATACAAATCTTTTATGTTCACACTCTCATGAATCCTACGGATATGGAACATAATCAGGATTCAAAAACATAATCATATGTTTCTGTCACTGATCAAGGGACACAACTCTACAAAATGAATTCGGACCCTTAGTGAGTATGTCGTCCCAAACCAAGAAGAGAAGTAGGCCTACCTTGATGAGAAAACCCCAACGCTAGTCAAGTAAAATCAATAACAGTGTCTCAAAGCGACATGAGTTATCTCCCTTCTAAACTGTTAAATCTATGTGTATCTCCAAAAGTCGGTTAAAGGGAAATAATCTAATTCCAACAACAAAGACCCAATTTTGACCGGACATGGATCATTATGAAACCTCAGTGTGTATGTTTGTTTATTTGTTTGTTGTTGTTGTTTAACACCTCACTCAGCAATATTCCACTTATATGATGGCGGTCTGTAAATCATTAAGTCTGGACCAGACAATCCAGTCACTGACATCATGAGCATCGATCCACACAATTGGGATACGATGGCATACATCAACCGAGTCAGCGAGCCTGACCACCCGATCCTGTTAGTCGCCTCTTAGGACAAGCACAGTCGCCTCTTACGGCAAGCATGGGTTGCTCGAGACCTATTCTTACCCGGATCTTCACGGGTTCAGCGTGTATGTATGGTATTACACAGCTCTTAGCAGTTGCTGTATATCATTGAAGTAGGGGAGCATATGGGTGAATGCTAACTACATTTTGCAATAGTCTTCAACATGTTCAAGCGCGAATACACCGTTCTTGTAAATGAGCATGTATTTTGTGATCCCAATCTGTCAACCAGTTAGCGTTTCACGGATCACATATTTCCAAGGAAATGCTTAGTATGCTTAAAAAATACTGTAATACACCTGGGTATTAGCCAACAGTTGAATATGTCAGAAACTGACAATGACCATGTTTTACGAAAAAACTGAATGCTGACCTTGACATTTCACTTATCGTTACCAAAATCTTTTCAAAGCAAGGCTCCATCCTAGAGAATGTAACTACCAAGTTTAACGTTAATGGTATTAATACTTTAAGAAAGTGTAGCCACAAAGTTTTGGGTAATTTATTCATCTTATGACCTTGACTATGACCTTTTCACAATATGTGTCAGAAAAATACGCAGGACCATGTGTAAGAAGTCCATAGAAGAAGAATATCTGATGTCAATAATTTTTGTGTTGCAGTCATTAGAAAAATCACTGGTGGCAGCAGACAAATTCGAAAATAAAATAAAAACAATCTGTTTCCAATGGGTTGCTAATAACTGGACAAAATTACTGCTCAAATTAGTAACATATTTCATTTAATGGTGCTGACAAAGTGTAGGGCAAAATATGGTGATGATTACAGTAAATGGTTCTCTGGCTGACTCCTACCTCTGAGCGCCCGAGAGATGTGGCTGTTTGAGGAGGTTTTCTGCGTGATGTAGGGCCATTAGGTGGTCATTGAGACACAGACAGGTGTATGAGGATGCAGCGAGGATGGAGCAACGTAGGTGGGCGATTTCTGTGGCTTTCATCGGGTTGCCGGGAGGGGCTGCCAACAGAACTGGTTCCGGGGTGGGTCTGGAGAACAAATAAAAGAGTGAGTGAGTCGGGTTTAACGCAGTATTGAACAGTATTTTAGTTATATCACAGTGTTTGTTTGTTGTTCAACGCGCGCTCAGCAATATTCCACCCATATGAGAGCGGTCTATAAATAATCAAGTCTGGACCAGACAATCCAGTGATTGATATTATGAAGATTGATCTACGCAATTGGGATATGATGACATGCATCAACCAAGTCAGCGAGCCTGACCACCCGATCCCGTTTGTTGCCTCTTTATTTGTTTGGAAACTGATTTGGCTGAGCAGTCAACACTGAATATATTCAGCTCTATCATGTCAGTGCAAAAAATGTCTGGAACAGAAACCAACATGTGACCTACACCCTTCACCATCAGGTTACAATGACATGCAATGAGTTATGTCACCAGTCCCTGTCTTATCCCCTAAATGCCGAGAACCAGGCAGGATAAGAGTGAGTGAGTGAGAATGGTTTTATGCCACTTTTAGCAATATTACAGCAATATCCATGATATCACGGTAGGGGACACCAGAAATGGGCTTCACACATTGTAACCATGTCGGGAATCCAACCCGGGTCTTCGGCGTGACGAGCGAACGCTTTAACCACTAGGCTACCCGACTGCCCCCCAGGTCTTCAGAGTGACGAGCAAACGCTTTAACCACTAAGCTACCCGACCGCCCTAGGAAGGGTAAGAACTAGTAGTACTGATTGTACTTATCCAGAGTAATACTAGTTTACAGCGCCAACCCACTGAGATACCATGCAGCAGTTTAACACTGATACTCCACTCAGACACAGTATTCTGACTCTGATCCATCCAGTCCTTGTTTTAGCCCCTTCAATGCCGAGTGCCAGGCAGGGTAACAACAAGTACCATTTATTTTACATCTTTAGGTATGATGCGGATGGGGATCAAACCATCGGTCTTTCTCTCTCCGGGCTGACACTCCATTCCCCATGTTCACTACATTCACTGACTTCATCGCTCTCTCACCTTCCTTCATGGTCGTCGGAGGATGTAGAGGTCTTGTCTGCCAGCAGGGGGTCTTCTGGCAGTAGTAGCATAGCATTCCGCAGACACAGTGAGGCGAACTCCAGGGTGGCAGATGGCATGGAGGGCGTGGTGGAACTGGTAATGGGAGCATGGATATGAGAATGGAACCTGGAAAACGTTTCAATTCTAGCTTGAAAACTTACCGTATTCGACGTAATAAGCGCCCAGGGCACTCTCAAAATTTGAAATAGGGGGCTTATTATTTTGGTAAAAATAAACAGTTGAAAGATCGTAAATTTTGTGGTTTATGCCGACAGCCTGAAATGTTTATATACGACAGATATATTTTTCCAGAATTTAATTGCGCTTATTACGTCGAATACGGTATCTGGTTTTGTGTAAGTTTTTTCTCAATTCCTGGTTTGAAAAATAGATGCCATATACCTTGGTGAAATTGATACCATGTCAGTCAACAAGAGGTGTTTGCATATACAATCACTGCCATATCCCCAAAGCTTCCAGTCCGAAAACATTATTTCCTGGCTTTTGCCTTCATCAAGACAACTTCTTTAGATCCAACAATTACCAAGTCGCAGGATTGTACAAGTGAAAGTGCATCAGTAACTAGGGCTGGGACGAGTCCAAATTTAACTACAAGGGTGCCCCCACACACACCCAGACACACACACCCACCCCACCCTATTACCCGACCCTACACTGGTAGAAATTGGCACTTGTCCTATAGTCCTTGTCAATTTGTCCAATAGTTAAGGTAAAAAAAGGACTAGTAGAAATTTGCCAATTTTAAGGGTTTTGCTATATGTTATCATTATAAGGACTTGTGGACCATAACTCTAAGTTTCTAACCCTGACTTGACCTACAAACATAATCGGGGCGAACCCGGATTCGAACCCACAAACATAGGTTTCTGGCGTGTCCAAGGGACACAACTCTGCACAGTGAATTGCGGCACCTTAGACGACTGGGTCACCTGTGCCCCCAGATGCAGCTGACATTTGATGTGGTATGATGTGCATGGAAACACGTAAGCATGTAAGTCCCATGGATGCTGACCTTGACCTGTGACTAATCTTGACCAAAACCTTTTTGATGCAGGGCCCTATCCTAATGAATGAATACACCAAAGTTTAATGATAAACGTATAAATACTTTTTAAGAAAATGTAACCACAAACGATTTGGGGAGCTTTCTCTCTCATGACCTTGACCTTGACCTTTGACCTTTTCATGAAATGTGCCCTCTAAATGCTCCAGGGCCATTTTGAAGAAGTTCATGGAATTATAATTGTTCCTGTCAAAAATCTTTGTCTAGCAAACACTGGAAAATCACCAGCTGTTGCGGTTTCACAGGGCTGCGAAATACTTAATTGAATTGGATCAGTATTTTAGTTTTTTGGTGCCTACTTTCTGCCAAATGGGTGGGTTTGAGTGATCACAGAAGCATTGAATCATCTGAATAATAATCAGTTGGAATCTTTTGTGAAGACTCAAGGCCTCTGAGCAGGTCTCTATAAATCCCTGGGGAAAGGGCAAAATACTACACTATGGATGGCCCATAAATAAAAGCGGCTCACCTAGGTTTGAACTTGCTGATGCCACATCCGAGGATAAGTTTTCTGTGCACTCCACTTCCGACTGAGCCTTGAATCACCTCTAGTCGCTTCTCTAAACAACGATCTTCATCATTGTTCTGAAATTGTATTGTAAAGACATTATCATAAGTTGTAGCAGGAACATGAGGGGTACATTTGTGATCCTGCTACAACAAATTTATCTTACTGACATGTTTTAATATGACATTGTAAAACAATTCAAATAAATTCCAAAATGATAGAAAACAGCGGTTGAGGAGAGATTAGCTTGCGCTATGTCACGTGACATCCATTGGCCCGGAAAAAAGCGTAAAGCTTTTTGCTTTGAAGCAGGGTATAAAGGATTTATTCTGTCTCTCAGAAATCCATGTGCAGCCTACAGTGCTCGTGGCTGTGTATAAAAGATTTATTCCCCCGTCCAGAAATTTATTACCCTCCAAGGCGGGTTTCACAGTATTTTATCAAGATCACGTGAACCAATCAGATCTCATTCTTCTGACATGGAGGTATGATAATACCCTTTATCTGATACTGGTAATTGATTTTTGATACAGTAAACTGAGTTACCAGAACATACAGATGACATCCATATGTTTTACAAGAGTGAGTGAGTGAATGTTTTAATACATCACAGTCAGTAATATTGCCTGTGTCAGGCAAACCAGTGGTCGATAGCATGAGTGAGTGACTTGGTTCTAATGCCGCCTTTGGCAATGTTCTGGCAAAATCACAGCAAGAGGAAACCAGAAATGGGCTTCATATATTGTGCCTGTGCAGGGGATTGAAAACTGCAGCTTGATGAGCAAGCGCTTTAACCACCAAGATAATTCCTACCCCAAGCATTTGCGTCAAACAAAATGGCAACGCCCAGTCAAGATGATCTGATCGATAATCAATATCTATATTGTGATAAAACGGGTCTTACATCGCAAAGTGCATCAAATCAGCACCCTAAAAACATGAAAAGATCTGCAAAATATCTGTTGACAACGAGTTGGCGGTGCACATGCTTTGCAAATCCTGCAATCGACCGTAATCTGCATGACAGTTTATGAACCGGATTTCGCTTTCGTTGTGTGATTTTGTTTGGACTATACACAGACTCGTTAGTCCAGCTAAAATGTAACGCCATAATACCAGCCTAGTTCAGCAAGGGTGGAAACTGGACTTTTATAGTCAGTTAACTCACTTGCCTCGGGAAGATGAGCAAATTGCTGCGCCTGAGACGAATGGACCACCCATGTCCCCCTCTGCAATCTGAACCACGGCTTGGACTCACCTCTCTGTTGGCTTGTATGCAACACTCCGCAAGTCGCAGCCACAGTCGGGGGTTCACCTGGTACACCTGTACTGCCTCTATGAGGCAGTCGAAGGCAGCCTGGGGCTGGCCGCAGTGGAGCAGTTGTATTCCCATGTTGTATAGCAGCTCATAGTGCCGACTCATGCCACGCGTCTGTAGGGGGCGATCTGGAAACAAGGGGAGGTAATTAGAATCACCTTTTTGGACAAAAACCTGTTGTGTTAAACATGTTAAAGCCTATTTCATTAATATAGACTTAACGTAGGAGGGTTTTTGTTTTGTTTAATGCTTCACCTGGCAATATTCCAGCTATATGATGGCGGTATGTAAATAATCGAGTATGGACTAGACAACCGATAGTGAAACAAATTATGCTGACAGGTACGAGGACGCGCCATCAACCACGTTCCATTTGGTCGCCTCTCATGACCAGCATGGTTGCTAGGAACCTGCTCTAACCCAGAATGAAATACACACTGTGGATTCCCTTCTTTCTGTTCAAGCATAATGGAATACACAATATGTCTATCCCCCTTTGAGAAACTAAGTATTATTTGCTTACTACTTTCGGCCCAAACTAGCCAAACTGTATCCCAAACATGTAATGAAACAACACAGAAGTACAAACAGAAAATTCGCCACACAAACTCCCAGCACTCAACACAACGTACTGCCACCTACTTTGGCCTCCGGATGCAGCATCTTTCAAAGCGTTTTCGTTCTCCTGCACAGCTCTGCGGAAGTAGAAGGCCCCGAGGTGGTGTTTGCGGAGGTGGAAGTGTATACACCCCAGGTTGTTGAAGTACATCATGGGGAGGCTCTCCCCCGTGTTGGTGAACACCTGGGCCTGGGGGTCCGAGCCCAGCATCCGGATAGCCTTCCGTAGGTTCCCCCGTAGGTACTCAAAGTTACTCTTCAGGTAGATCACAGATGTGTTCTGGAAGCAATCATGGCAGGTGAGTGAGTGGGTGGGTGGCAGTGAGTGGGTAAGTGGGCGAGTGGGTGAGGTTGGGTGGGTGGGTTGTTGCTCGTGTGGGTTAGTGTGTGGATGGGTGAGTGAGTGAGTGAGTGGGTCATTGGGTGAGTGAGTGAGTGAGTTAGTGAGTGAGTGAGTGTTTTAAGCTGCTGGCAATATTCCAGCCACATCACACAAAAGAGAAATGGTAGACTAACATGAAATCTATGAAATCATGTATTACATGATACATTTCTCTCCTCAACAAACATTTTTCTTGATGCCAATGTGGAATGTAGCAGACTAGATTTGCTTTTCCAGATCGGTTTAGTTTCATGAAGTACATGAACCATGTTTGTGATACCCATGATCGCTCCATGGCACCGACAACTCCCGGAATCATTATCAGGTCAATTCTTGGATTTGAACCCAAGATCATTGGATCCCTGTACCTCAAAGGGTTGCATGTACATGTACATATATTCCATAATCATGGTGGGGGACTAAAGAAATGACAAGAAATCTTAATACATTGTTCCTATTGGTGAATTAGACCTCTATATACAGTCCGTTTGACGCCAAATGAGAACGATGAATTGCAAAATAACTCGAAATCCAGAAAAGTGTATGAAACATCAATACGGTACTTGACCATGAATACCCTGTACCCAACAAAATCTGAATTTTGTTTATTTTAAGACCCATGATGGATGAAGTTATTTAAGAAACAACCTGTAATTTTGTATAGAAATGTGTACATGACACGTAGGGGGGACAAACCGTGGGAGGCACAGCGCAAGCACGCATGCACTGCACGTTCTGTGGTAGGGGAAATAACAGAGCGTTAGAGGGGCCGTCTCATGATAATTTCAGTCGCAATCTGACTCACTCATGCCATAGATCTCGTCGTCGGAACTGCTGGTGCCTGAACCGACTGCCACTATTATAGGTTGGACTGTTGCTGGCCGTAGTCCATCTCGTGACCACTAACGTGGCTCTATCTCGTCAACGACTGTGGCCACACAACACCTCCATGTTTCTACTGTTACCCGACCAAGGGATTCCTTTACGAGTTGTTCAACATCTCGTAATTTGAACGTTGTGTTCGATCGTCCAACGTCACCCTTGACGATGCCCCATACCAACTCGATTGGATTCAGGTCGCAGTGGTAAGGTGGCAGTCGTAAGACAGCGTGACCCTGACCCTTGATGTAACTGTCAACTTCACACACAGGGTCAGGTTTCATAGTTTTGATGATTTCATAGAGCTGTGGTTTCGTCGCTCGAGAAGGAAAGGTAATATTGATGTTTCATACACTTTTCTGGATTTCGAGTTATTTTGCAATTCATCGTTCTCATTTGGCGTCAAACGGACTGTACAGTGTGTTGCATTACCCACTGGACTACCATGTCTTGACATCAGACTTGACATGATTTGGTTGGTTTGTTGTTTACGCCACACTCAGCAATATTCCAGCTATATGACAGCGGTCTGTAAATAATCGAGTCTGGACCAGACAATCCAGTGATTAATATCATGAGCATCGATCCATGCAATCGGGATCGACGACATGCATCAACTAAATCAGCAAGTCTGACCACCCAATCCTGTCGCCTTTTACGACATGAGACATGATATGAGACATGATATGAGACTTGACATGAGACACGAGATGAGACTTGACATGAGACATGACATGTGACTTAACATGACATTACATGAGACTTGACATGATACATGACATGAGACTTTACATGACACATGACATGACATGAGACACAACATGAGACTTGACATGAGACTTGTTCAATCGCCTTACCATTGCCTGAGTGTTGAGTAAAGACTTGAGTTCCCGCTTGCACATCTTCATTGACTTGAGCATGATCAGGCAGCGAATCTTGTACTGTGAACATAGCAGTCAAGAGCTGATTCTTACTAAAAGTCCCATGAAAGTTTTTGACATTGTTTTCACTTCTTTACATTCATTGAAGAATAAGCCTCCAATTGTATAAAATTGCATAGTGGAGCAATTTTATACAAAATTTGTATAAACCATAGACATGCAGTTTTTGCAAATTACAAAATCAACGGGCAATCTGAATGGGACACCTAAATAGCTGATACTGATTTATGTAAAGTTTTGGTTTGTTTGTTTAATGCCACACTCAGCAATATTCCAGCTAAATGACAGCGGTCTGTAAATAATCGAGTCTGGAGCAGACAATCAAGTGATTTAGATCGTGAGCATCGATCCATACAATTGGGATTCGAGGACATGCATCAACCAAGTCAGTGAGCGTGATCACCCTATCCCGTTAGTCGCCTCTTACAATGAGCATAGTCGCTTATAAAAAGAAAAAATCAAGTTGAGGTCAACTAGAAAATAGTTCCTAACTCAGGCAAAACTTGCATTGATCGAAGCATGAATGAAAGTTTTTGTGCATTCATTGAAGAATAAACGTAAGTTTTCAGAAGCCCTTAGCCAATCAGAATTTCATAAATTTCTGTGCCAAATTCATTTTAAAAGTATTCTAAAATGCTAAGACAACAAAATGCCATTGCAGCAGCCATAAAATGTCCAAGTCTTGTGTTTATATGTTTGTCTTACGACCAGCACAGGTTGCTGGAGACCAATTGTTACTCGGAAACCTCACAGGTACATTCAGAGCCTTACCTACTGGGATTCCAGAAAGTTAATATTGATTAAGCCTGCATTGGTAGAATCTAGAAACCAACTCACAACACTGATCCGAGGTCTCCACGCCTCCACGGAGTTCTCAGAGCTTTCCTTATTGTCCTTCCCCTTCTCTGGCTTCTCCGGTGTGCCCTGTCCGGCGCCGTGTTTACCATTAAAGTACGTCTTCTCCATGTAGCTCAACATGCCCATAGACTTCTCTGGCTGGGGCACAGAAGCAGGCATTTATATAGAATTCCAAACTAACTGCCCTTGATGGGCAAATTGGTAAAAAAAAATCTTTGTTATTCTATTTAAAATTAGGATATTTCTTGGACAGTTCTTATTCGGACAGTTATCAACCAGATGATTTACCATTCTTTTGAAACTGAACTTTTGTAAAACTTGGCTTCGTATAACTCCCCAGGAATGTAAATAGCACTTTCACCATTAAAAACTTGTTTACATGGCCAGTGAAAAGTAACAAAATTAGGTCAAAATTAGGTCAAGTTCAGCCAGGTAAAACTTTGGGTTGTAGAATATGTATTACTGTTCCTGGGGAGTTATATTAAACCAATTTTTACAAATTTTTTACCTGGATGAACTTGACCTAATTTTGCTACTTTTTACTGGCCATGTGAAAAAGTTGTTAACGGTGAAAGTACTATTTACAAATTGCATGAAGCCAGCCGAAAAACCTGATTTTTAATATTGTTCAATGATTATGTGATGACTTACTGATGGAAATGAACTTGCTGGTTCAACCTCAGTGCCAACAGAACCACCCTGAAGTATGGCTCCGTATTGCCCATTTTGAGGTGAATATGAGTGATTTGGCATTGTACCACATTAGAGCCTGCTCATTCTTGTGACCAGTGTTTTTCAAGTTTTCACGCTTTTAGACACCAGAGTTTGATTTGTTTGTTTAACTCCGCACTCAGCAATATTCCAGCTACATGACGGTGGAGTGTAAATAATAAAGTCTAGACCAGACAATCCAGTGATTGACATCATGAGTATCAATCCATGCAACTGGGACACGAGGACATACATCAACCAAGTCAGCGAGCCAGACCACACGATCCTGTTAGTCGCCTCTTACGACAAGCAAAGTCGACTTTTATGAGTGAGTGAGTGAGTTTGATTTTATGCCGCTTTTAGCAATATTCCAGCATTATCACGGCAGGGGACACCAGAGATGGGCTTTACACAATGTACCCATGTCGGGAATCGAACCCAGGTTTTCGGCATGACAAGCGAACGCTTTAACCACAAGGCTACCCGACCACCCCGCCTTTTATGACAAGCATGGGTTGCTGGAGACCTATTCTGACCCTGATTTTCATGCATTTTCTGTGTCAAAAGGCTTTCAAAAAGCATTATTCATTGTCATGATAGTTTATTTGTTTGTAGTCTAACACTGCAACATTCCAGCTATATGATGACAGTCTATAAATAATCGAGTCTGTTCCAGACAATCCAGTGATTGATATTATGAACAAATATCCACTAAGTAGAGGTACTGTGACATGCAATTAACCAAGTCAGCGGATCTGACCACCCGATCCATTTGATCGCCTTACGACCAGCATTGGTTGCTGTGGACCTATTCTAACCCAGAACTCACGGGGCCATTGTCATTAGAGGTGTAACGGTACGGGAGAGTCGCAATACGATACGTATCGCGATACAGGGGTCGCGATACGATAAGTATCACGATACAGTGTTTACTGGTACAAGCTAAGCCAAGTTGATGTCTTTCTGCTCTCTAAAAGATGTGACAAGTACAGTTGAAGAAGATATAAGGTGTTTATTTACTGTTATAGCATCTTGTCAGCAATACAGTATGTTTTACTTAAACAACAAACTGCCTTTGAAACTGTTAAACTTATTTCATGTTTAGAAGTAGCATATTTTCTTGAGTATAGTGCGCACCCCCCTCTAGCGGGTTCATCATTTTGGAAAAAAAGAAATTTTAATATTATGCGAAGAAAAAATTTACACCATACCCCTTCAGCGAAGTCAGGCAAACGAACGGGTGATGAGAAACTTCGTCAGTACAAATTTGAAATTTGAGATAAAAAATCACCAGACATGTTGATTTACTGTTTAAATAGTATTTTTTGTTCAGCTAGGCATTGTTTTATATCCAGGGATTAAGATTACCTTGTAAACTAAGCCGGACACAGCAATCAGCTGTACACACGTTTTCTTGGAATCTACCGGTGATTCGGTCAAGACACATCCAATGATATAACTTAACAGGATTTTAATGCAAGGATCGGCAAAAGTTGTATCTGAAACTATTTTTTTTATCAGGAATAATATATTCCAATATCTTGTTAATTTAGCTTTTACTAAACATATTTAAAATAATAATAACCCTAAGCAAAGCAGCTGATCGCTATTGCCGGGTATTATTTTTTACATGGAACCAGTCTGACCAGTCACCGTCAAGGCTCCCGTGCACGTGATTGCGTGATCGCGAGAATTACGTGTTGACATAGAATTGTCCAACAAAAACAAATATGACTTTTAACGAATCAAAGTATGACATTTATGATATATGTATCCATTCTCTGTCAACTAGAGTTTGTTTCAAGGCATCAATAGCGGTAACCTGACCGTGGTTGCTGTTAATAACGGTGAGTTGTGCGATCTTCCGATCGCTTCACACACGATTTCGCTGAAATTAATTAAAACAATATTAAAAGGAATTTTGAATAAAATTAATGAAATAAGTAACAAACATAAGTCCAATTATACAAAGAACACTTTTTCTAGCCAGACAGTGTAATTACATGAATAATTCAGTATGGATTTGTTGACATGGTATTTCCGGTGTTACGTGCTCACGGTAATGTCTTTCCATGGGGGAAAAAACATCCAAACTCAATAATTCGTGTATAATGCGCACCCCCTTCTACACAGCTGTTTTTTGGGAGAAAAAAATTGCGCACTGTACTCAAGAAAATACATTAGTAAAACTGTGTTATGAAAATATCGTATGTATCGCGATACATGCTTTCCAAATCGATGCATCGTATCGTGGGCTGTGCATCGGTATACAATACTGTATCGCCGTATCGTTACACCACTAATTGTCATTGTAGAATAAAGCATCACTGGTCCTCTCTCACCTGATATGTACACAGATACAGCTCCACTAACAGCAAAATAACCTTTCTGGCTAGGAGTTCTTCTGTGGAGAAATACGAACTATTAGCCTGTGTAAAGTCACCAGAGCACTGAAGGTACAGAAGCTCACCTTACATGTGGTTTCAAAATTTGGTGCTACGGAAGCGTAAAGCTATTTTGTCTTTGACTTCGAGTGAGATTACATGGACCTTTTTCGTATTTGTTGTCTATTCTATAGATGATAAAAATTGAAAAACAGGTTTAGAAATACCTTGTATACAAGTGCCAACGGCATGGTTAAAATCACAACAAAAATGTTAAAATAAGTTCCTAGTGTCTGAATGGTACACTTAGAAAACAAATGTTTTAATAAGCTTATTGTGACAATTTATATATATGTAAAGCCAGAGTTCTGTTCAATGCCACACTTAGCAATATTCCAGCTATATGACAGCAGTCTGTTAATAATCGAGTCTGGACCTGACACTCCAGTGATTATAATAATGAGCATCAATCCACGGAATTAGGATAGATGACATGCAATCAATGACTTACTGAGCCCAAGCACATAATCGATCTTAACCATCTCTTACAAGCATAAGTTTGTTTGAACCAATTCTATACATAAAATCAAATTGGGATAGATGACATGCAATTAATGACTCACCGAGCCAAGGCACATAATCGTTCTTAACCATCTCTTACAAGCATAAGTTTGTTTGAACCAATTCTATACATTAAATCAAATTGGGATAGATGACATGCAATTAATGACTCACCGAGCCCGTGCACATAATCGTTCTTAACCATCTCTTACAAGCATAAGTTTGTTTGAACCAATTCTATACATTAAATCAAACTGGGATAAATGACATGCAATCAATGACTCACCGAGCCCGTGCACATAATCGTTCTTAACCATCTCTTACAAGCATGAGTTTGTTTGAACCAATTCTATACATTGAATTAAACAGAGCTGTAATGGATCTTACCCAAAGGTTCGATACACTGAAATAACTTATCCAGGAGACTGAGCGATGCACGGTACTGTCGGAGATGGTACAGCACCACAGCCTGGTTGTAGTAGACGAAGGCATGGTCCATATCCTCCAGGCTGTCAAACGCATCAGGGTTGATGGAGAACTGAGACAGAAAAATTAACAATAGGAATACAAAATAGCTTCAGAGATAGTGAGTGAATGCTGTAACTCCAAACACAGCATTACTACATCTAAATAATGTCAGTATGTAAATAATCATCTTTGCCAGACAAATCAGTGGTTGATATTGTGAGCAATATCCCAACACATTAGTGTTCCAGTGTTTGAAGTTGTTGTTGTTTGTTGTTTAAAGTAGCACTCAGCAATATTCCAGCTATATGACGGCAGTCTGTAAATAATCAAGTCTGGACCAGACAATCCACTGAATGATATCATGAGCATCGATCCATACAATTGGGATATGATGACATGCATGAACCAAGTCAGCGATCCTGACCTCCTGATCCTGTTAGTCGAATCTTACGACAAGCAAAGTAGTTTTTTACGGCAAGTATGGGTTGCTGAAGACCTATTCTACCCCGGATCTTCACAGGTCTCCAGTATTTGAAAGTAAGCACTAAAGCCAAGGGGTTATTGTCATAACTTTCATGGCTTTAGTGCTTACTTTCAAATACTGGAGACCTGTGAAGATCCGGGGTAGAATAGGTCTTCAGCATTTGAAAGTAAGCACTAAAGCCAAGGGGTTATTGTCATAACCCTAAATGTCAGGAGAACACCTCAAGAACCTTCTCTTTTTTAGAACACTGGAGTGCGATTACACGCAATCTCACAGGTCAATGAGCCTGAATCCCCATTCTAGTCTGTTCTTCTACACAAAACTCAACACAGGGGTTAAGTGTATCTTATAGCATGAGAGACAAGATAAGTATTATTAATATACAATTTATGGTAAAATTTACAAATTTTTAAACTTATCCTACCTAAAAAATCTATGAGACTGTCCAGTCAAAACACTTGAGCAGGAAAAATATATCATAACAGGTGATATGATCCCTATACGTTAGTCGGACATAGCAGCATGAATTCAGGTAGATCATGCATTATATGTTTTTATGCATGACATCATTACATGAACAACCACATAGCTGTAAAGAATAATCTATACAGCGTACAACTTCTGAATGGGATACCGCCAGAATAACTGCTTTGAACTCAAGGTTGTTGATATGGAGCCGCTTGTCTTCGACAGTCCAACGCATTCCGACCTGTACATCGTTTAAGTGCCCTTCCCGATCCACGGACGATGCGTTGACAAAGAGATGTAGGGTCGGGAGGAACAGCCGTAAAGAGCCCTGTGCAAACATTGGATGTTACAAGACACCACTGAATGGATGCAGATGGATCGGCAAGGAGATCGGGACCTGTCTGCCATCGCTGTAGGGCGCAAGGAAGCACTGAAGATGATGTTGACCCCTCATTGTGAGGACTTGGGTCGATGTCAGAAGGCCAATGAGATGTTGCCATTGACTTTAATGGAGAGGCTGTCCGAGTGCCAGTGGCATGAGACGCTGTATCTGCAGCCACCAGTCTGGAGGAACTAACATCTTGCCGAGGCAGGTGTCGAAGAGGCCCCAATGAACTGGAGTCATCTCGGACTGGCCTATGTTAACGAGCCACCTGATTTGGAGAAGCCTTTGCGTAAACTTGAGATGGTTCACAAGGACATCTTGGTCTGCACTGGCCTGCATTGACTCGAACACTTGAGCAGCAGAAGCTGGCTGACCAGATATAGATTGCGATACAGTGTGGAAGTAGTTGGAGGAGTTGCAAGCAGGGGCAGTCTGTAACCAGTCTGTAGAAGAAGCAAGACAAAGGTATCATCCAGGATGGCCCAATTTCCTGCAAAGAGACCAAGTCTCCCATGCACGACTGGAGGCAGAAGTTCCCAGTTGTCCAGAGGCTGAGGCAAGTCACTTGTCTTGTCTCACAGTGGCATTGAGATGTGCCAGATCGCGGTCCTACACTGTGTAGAAGTAGTCACTCACTTGGATCCATCAAATTCGGGAACACAAGCAGTCTTGGACGTCCATAGGTGCTGGATTCTTCCACTAGAAAGCGAGGGATCTATAGGCGATCACATAAGCGTCTGAAGGATTCAAAAGCATCTGAAGGACTCAAAAGCCTGGTTAAGGTTAGTGGCAATATCCGCCAAGACGTGCCCGGGAGGGAGTGTGATGTTCAAAGAACAAAGTACAGCATTTGAGCTGTAACTTATTTGCAATCCAATGAAGAACAAGAGAGGGGTCTGCATTTTTATAACTGCCCGAAGACAAGTTTGGTTCACATCACTACCAGCTGGCGCAGGATCAACCACCGGAGGAACAGGAACTGTAGAGCAAGGAGGACAGACTGGAAGGTCAATCTCCATATCGTCGATCTTGAGAGAGTCTCTGTCCTGTTGCTTCCATAAGTGATGCTCCCGAGAGCGACCAGGCAACCAAGAGTGACTATCCTGGGACAGTCGATCCCAAGGAGAGCGAAACTTAGATAAACGATCCTTAGAATGACGACCGTGACCGTGACTTTTCCTGGAACAACGACTTTTGTAGGAAACACGAGACCAATCCTTGCTACATCGATCTTCGGCAGAGGGTGAAGGCGTTCTACTGGTGGACGGCTTAGTCATCACTGTTGATTATGATGTAGTACATTTCGACATCAACTTGAACAGAGCAGGAAGGAGTGGGAGACAAAAGTTGACAAGTCGTTGGTGGTCAAGGATTGCTCAAAGGTCGATCAACATCTTAGTTGAGGCAGGTCCGGCCGAAGTGACTGTGGAAAGTACCATCCGAATGTCCAAGTCAGCTGGTGGTTCCGATGTGACCCATTTGTTTAGGTGGTAACTATGGTGATGCTGGGATGTGTCTAGTGATTAGTTTATCAGAAGCGGAAACTTCAATCAAGCACGTTTACACAAAGGATCGAAAGAAGGAATAAATGCATAGTGTGAGATAGGATAAGTTTAGAAAAATATATATATTTTTAAATGAACATGATTAAGTATAATATATATTTTTTAAATGAACATGAAGTAAAATACTTCCACCATCCTTCAAGATAATTTCATTTTCATGGTATTATTATTTTAAATTGCCATGTTTACAGAATGATTTGTCTGAGGTAAACTTAAGATGCAGAAAACATGGAAAAGTAGCATATCTCTGAGCAAATAACAATGTATTCTGTTGGTGCCATTAAGTACTGAAATATGCCCTTATCAACATCATTACATAAAGTTACCCAACATACACAATTCATTTTCTTTCTAAACTCCTCCACATTTTTTAAGCCGCTGTGATAGAACTCAGCCACTGCTTTGTTTTGGGACACTTTGACATCGGATGATCGCTCCTTTAGTAGTTTATTAAGTGTTGAGACACATGGTCCAAACTGTTGGTTTTCAAACTCTCTCAGGGCTTGACACCCGAGCTCTCTCTGCTGTTCTGTCACTGTCGGAAGAGATGGTAAACTCTCAACTACTTCTGGGATGTCTTCAGACTTTGAGTCGGCCATTGTCTTTTATCTGAAAGGAAATTAATTGGACTGTTTAATGCTTGAGAAAAAAGGGTTACAGCTAAATGGCACCGCATCAAATCGGGTCAAAATCTGCAAAAACTTGGCTTGGCTAAAACAACACTGTTCTACTCACAAATTCAGTATTGTTTCTGCATATTATGTTTATACAGATTAGTCGTAATAAAAATAAAACATGATGTAAATATGTCACATTCCAGTTTACCGGATACCTTTGGTTGGAATTTGAAAGCTTTTCATGTAACCATACTGTCAGGTTGATGTTGGAGGAAATCAGCTCTTTGACTGAGGATAACTACTTAATTGAAACCCATCACAAACCTAGAAACGTAACGGACGAAAATGGAATTTGAACCCACGATCACAGGTTTATGGCAAGCATAAAGAAAGCACAATGAATTGTGGCACCAAAGGCAATTTGGCCACCTGTGCCACCAACAGTTGTTGAAAAGAAAAGATCTTGAAATGATTTTCAACTACAAGAAAGCACATGATTATCTTGAGACTACATTTTGAAAGTAAGTCAACTGCCATTTTTTTCTTTTAATTTTGACAGGTGAGCTATGAATTAATATACCAAATGCAATGCATGGCCTAATCATGTTCAAGATGACCATATGAAGTAGGACCATTAGAAAGTGCAAATTAAGTAACTACGCCACTTTCATTGCTCTCAAGGTCACTTTAAAGAAAGATAAATAAGAAAATACTTATGTTTAATTTCAGATAAGAAACAAATTTATCAGGAACATTGTATTTATCTCAAATATGTAGATCTAGGTCTAAAAATATGTCTGAAATTACTGTTAAATTCTTTTACGACTTTATTCATTGTTAGGCAGCCTAGCAACTTTATGATTGTTTTCACTTCCAAATTATTTGATTGATGACTGTCATTAGCATGCAATTTGTTTAGACATATCTTATGATATGGAAGGTGTGAAAACAAAAAAGCAATACATCAGAAAAGGAAAGTTTTTTTTAAGACTGATTTTGGTAACAGAAATAACGTTCAATGTTTATCAGTGTTTATAGCACTCGGGTGTGCTTGGCAGGTTCACAGCTTTATGACTAACTTGTTTAAGGAACGTGTGTAAATATACGAACTGGAAAGCGTCTTGAAACAGTCGGGCAGTTGATATGTAAAAAAAAATATTTTAACGTAACACCTCACTGTCTTGTTTGATCAAGCGTAACACACGTTCCATTACAGCCTGCAACAGCCAACAATACCTAAGCAAAAGTAAACTCGCATCATTCTTCAAAATATGCATGTTTGTGTACCTAAATAACATTAAAGTTGAATCTCACACGTTCTTCTATAACATGATCATGGAGGCTGCCATGTTATGCATACTGCGCCCCCTTGTTGCGCTAAGGGAGCTTACTCTGGACTCAACGTTCAAAGAAATACAAAATGTGAACTCAAGTCATCTTCTGTGAATTATTGTGTCTATTTATAATAAGTTTGTTTTTGATTTCTAATATGTATATCAATCTCCATAAATGATACAAAGTGACACAAACAATCATTAATTTATTAAGACCGTAACATGTTTTCATCGTGTATGTTCATTTAATTTCATGATTATTCTTTTCCGGAATTCATTTTTCATTTTTAACCTTCCAAATCAGAAACTTCCTGTCTTCACACGGTGCGAGAGCGTTTGGGCACCGTTTGGAGAACATTTATCAAACGTACTGACGTACAGACGTTTATGCAATTGTGAAAGGATTAGTCCTGCCAATATATTGCACCGAACGCTATCAGATCAAAATGTCATCCCCAGAAGTTGAGCGTTTCGAGGTAACTGATCGGGATTTGGAAGACATTTTTACCCCTCGAGTTTTCCGCCAATCCAAGAACCAAGCGATATATGGTATTTGGGCAGAGAAAGAGGACGAAGAAGAAGAAGAGAGACCAAGCTTTGGGGGAGGTAAAAGAAAAAAAGATTATACTGCACCTGTTAATTTCATCAGTGGCGGATTCAAGAGAGAATTGAAAAAAGAAGACCAGACTGGGAGCGATTCCAATGATTCAGGCGCTTCTGTACCCATCAAGAAAGAAAAATGGACTGCCAGCAGAAGACCGTTTGCATCAAAGGGTGGACCGGTTAAACAAACTACACCTCACTTTCTTAAAGGTCACCATGAAACGAGAGAATTTGGGGACTGGGAAAAACACACGCGAGGCATTGGGCAGAGGATTTTACAGAAGATGGGTTACAAGCCAGGCGAGGGCTTGGGGACTGAGGGGCAGGGCATCACCACGCCTGTGACAGCTGTCAAGAGAAAGGGTAAAGGAGCTATTGGTTTCCATGGATCAGAGAGATCAGCAAGATCTATGGTTGATTTCCCTGTGGTTGATTCGGAGGAAGAGGATGAGAAGAAGTTTCAGGAAGAACTTCACCAATGGAAGCGTACAGAAACTAAAGCAAAGAAACCAAAATATGTGTACAAAACTGCACAAGAAGCTATTGATGGGGGTCAAGGTCGCAAGAAGAAGTCTTACGATATGAAAGCAAGCAAGGTGAAGGTTATTGACATGACGGGACGTGAGCAGCGCGTCTTGACCGGTTATCATGCCATCTCCCACAGACATGACAAACCAGATGAGGAAGAAGTGGTTTACACTGACGAGAAACAGATACGAATGTTTGACATGCCAGAATTGCTGCACAACCTTAATTTATTGGTTGACATGGCAGAAGAAGATATTATCTTGAATGACAGAAAACTTAAACATTCCAAGGACTCAGTTGTCAACATAGAGCATGAAAAGAAGCGCTTAGATGCTGTTTGTGATGATGAAGAAAAGCACCTTGAGAAACTGTCAAAATTGTTGGAAGTTATTGAGGACTGTGAAAAAAGAACGCAGCCAAACTGTGAGGTGCCCATCACTTTGGATGAATGCGTTGATGTGTTCAAGATGATGCAAAAGGACTACTATGAAGAATACAAATTGTATGACATGGATGCCCTGGCAATAGCATTGGTGTTTCCACTAATGAAGGCTTTCTTTGCACCTTGGGAACCACTAAGTGAACCAGGTAAATAGAGATATTTATTATGTTTATTATTTTTATGAAAATGATTACACTTGTTTAAAGATTAACATGTTTATTATCATTAATAGAAGATGCAGGCTTAGATTACATGGACCTATCAATCTTTTTCCTTTGCCTTTTTTATGTTCTTAACGTAAGTAAAAAACAGATGAGTCGCTCAAGTAATCATGAATGATATATGATTCATAGTTTTACCTTGACTTAATCTAGGGGCCCCCCATTAATTTGTTTTAAGGGTCCTTGCAGGTTATATGAGTAAAGTAATGAAGTCGTGTAGTGTACTGTACGTTTTGATAATTACCTTTGAGCCTGGAATGAATCGATGATCATGTGGACAGTGGTCATGATTGATAGATGAAACTGTTCTTGACGTGCTGTAGGTACAATGTTTATTATTGTGTGTCCCTTGGGATGCAGTAGAGTTCTTTTCTGCTTCCATTCTCTACATTTCTGAGTAGTGGACACCCATTTGTGCGTCTTATAAAACCCGAACATCGTATGATTTCAATGACATTTGTAGAAATCATAATCTAGCTGGCAATGGTCCATGTGTACTGAGCTGAAACAACATACTATTTTTTTAAGAGCACATATATATTTAAAGTGGTACACTAGATGTTTTAGTTTTCATGACAGGGATTTATCTAAACCTGCTCAGTGGCCGATACTCGTCCCCAAATCTGTTTCAAATGTCAATAAAAATAAATTCCCAAATGGAATTAAATGGCTTGGTAAAAGTAACTTGTATTTCATTTTGCCAATAAAGAGGAGGACGTCTCTAATGTTAGTTCTTCCATTATTGCATGCAATGTTATGATACAATGTTAGAATGTTTCTGAAATTATGAAAATATTAAGTCCGACTTTTGCATGAAACAATGTGTTACCTATTTGCCTGCCAAGGGTATAAATCCCTGCATAATTATGCACATGTGAACCATTTACAAGGCTAGTTAAATGATGCATTTGTGTACTCTTCTCCCAGGTAACTTGTTTCGCTGATGTTTTCAGACAAACCAGAATCTGTTATTGACATCATTTTTCAATTTCAGGCTATGGCTTCAACACAGTCCGGGAGTGGAGAGTGTTGCTGGAGGAGCCTGGCGGTCAGCACCATGACATCAATGATATGGACACCTACCAACGTCTTCTCTGGGACACCTGGCTGCCCCCAGTCCGCAGTGGCATCCTCCGATGGAACGTCCGAAGCTACGACCCACTGGTCTGTGTACTGGAGACTTGGCAACCTGCCTTGCCCCGTTGGATCATGGAGAACATCCTGGATCAGCTTGTGTTGCCAAGGCTACTACAGGAGGTGGAAGCATGGAACCCACTCACAGACACAATTCCTGTGCACGCCTGGATCCATCCATGGCTGCCTCTGATGGCAGACAAACTGGAACCCCTCTACGCTCCCATCAGACATAAGCTTGCTAATGCTCTGGTCAACTGGCATCCATCTGATGCCTCAGCTAAGATTATTCTTCAGCCATGGCTTGGTGTGTTCAAGCAGGGACATATGGATGCATTTTTGGTCAAAAACATTTTACCGAAGTTGGGTCAGGCTATTCAGGAGATGCACATCAATCCCCATCAACAGGTTCTGAATCCATGGAGATGGTTCATGGCCTGGTACAGCATCCTTCCAACACAGCATCTCATATCAGTATTGGACAAAGCCTTCTTTCCACGATGGCTACAGGTTTTATGTGGCTGGTTGAGCAATATGCCAAATTTTGATGAAATCACCAAATGGTATCTTGGATGGAAGGCCCAGTTTCCTGAGGAGATGAAATCCCATGCAGTGATTAAAGAACAATTCAACAAAGCCCTTGAGATAATGAATCAGTCAGTCTCGGGCCACTTCCAGCCTGGAGTGCGTGAAAACATGGCCTACTTCACCCACACTGAGCGTCGTCAGATGGATGTGCAACCGCCAGTGCAGCCTCAACCATCACAGACTCAAGCTCAGGCAGAGACTATGCAAGCTGTTCGGAGTGTCAACCCATCCGTGCCAACAAGCTTCAAGGACTTGCTTGAAAGAAAAGCTAATGATAATAACATTTTGTTCATGCCCATTGCTGGCAAGTCTCATGAGGGACATCAAGTGTATCGTTTCGGCAACCTGCAGATCTACTTAGACCGCAGTGTTGTGTTCATGTACACTGGGAACACCCAGAGTTGGGTGCCAGTGTCACTGCAACATCTAATAGACAATGCAATCAGATGAAAGTCTAGTTGTTGATGTGGCTGTGCATCTTCCGAAGGCAAGGGTTAACTGACCATTAAAGTCCAGTTTCCACCCTTACCGAACTAGTCTTGAATTTCCAGGCTCGATATTAGCACCAGCAGTGGCTATTACGAGTTATGTCCCTTCTATGTCCCTCCTATCAAACAATCAGATTCCATCTCTCAAATCACTTGTATTTGCTTCAAACAAAATGGTGGCGCACAGTCAAGACAATCTGATCGATAATCAAAATCTATTTTGAATAAAACAGGTCTTACCTCATGAAGTGCATAAAATCACTTGAGCGCCTTAATTAGAAACATAAGATTTGCGAAATATCTGTCGAAGCCCAGTTGGCGGTACACATGCTTTACAAAACCTGCAGTTGACCAAACTTTGCATGTTGAAAGCCTTTACAAGTCTTTACAAACTGGATGTCTAGTTCCTTTGCGCAATTTTGATGGGCCAATGCATTGACTCGTTAGTCCAGCCAAACTGTAACTCTGGAATTCCAGCCTAGTTCTGCAAGCGTGGGAACTGGACTTTGATAGTCGGTTATCTCCCTTGCCTCAAGAAGATGGTGGCTGTGGAGCAAGACATTGCTGTTGTTTGAGTCAAAGAAATAAATGGTGCATTATGAACATCAGATTCAACAAATGAGGGAAATGTTACTGTGTGTCTTTATTTTTGTATGGAAAAGACTATTCATTTAAGACAAATCATGCTTCCAATGATTTTGCGAGGAAATCTGGTTAAATCACAACATGTTGCTTTTCTTCCATCAATATCCTTTCGGGGTGAAACGATACAAGGTCAGGGTATGATACATGTCACGATACACAGGTCACAATACAATATGTATTGCGATACTCATATTTACGTTAAAAATGTGTGGAAACTTCTTGATTATAAATATTTCAGAGCAGGTTCAAAAGGAAAAGCTGGTGGGGCACGGGTGGCCCAGTTGTCTAAGGGACAGCGAAACCTATGGTTGTGGGTTCGAATCCCAGTTTGCCCTGATTATGTTTCTAGGTTTGTCAGCACCATACTAGTGCTCGTGGGTTTCACCGAAGTGATAAACGTCTGAGACCTGCATCACTTCGGGCTTTCCTCCCACATTACACACATGATTAAGCTGACCAACGTGATATGACTGGAACTGTTAAAAGTCATGATGCACTGGTACACTGATGTATTGTTTTACCACTAATATCCATCATCTTATATAAACAAGGATTAAAAAATGTTGACATGTGGTATGAGTAAACTTGATAACTGTGTAGCTGGTCAGTCTTGTGTTGTCTTGGAATGATTAACACACTCACTCCTGCTTGGCAGTGTTGCACTGAGCAATATTCCAGAGACTAGTAATTACCGTATTCGAAGTAATAAGCTCCCAGGGCGCTCTCAAAACTAGAAATGGGGGGCTCTTATTAGAATATTATTTTGGTGAAAAAAACAGGGTTGAAAGATAAATTTCGTAGTTTAAGCTGACAGCCTGAAATGTTTATGTACGACAGATATATTTTTCCAGAATTTAATTGCCAATAATAAAGGGTGCATATATCACATGAGTGCGTATTATATGCAAATAGGGGTCGGAAGGGGTGCTAATGGGGATTGTTCACTAGCCAATATATTAGCAAATCTTGCGGTGGGCGTTTATTAGAGCGGTGCGCTTACTACGTCGAATACGGTAATTAAATTTGGACCAGGCAATCCAGAAATTGAGATTAAAAATTCAGTCCACGTTGGCGTTAGGACATGCTATCAACTAGGGATAGGTATTCGAGGGATTACAAGGCGGCATTGCGATACGCTTCATGATATATTGTATTATCTTAAATTTTGACTTCAGAAACAATTTGAAATACCAGTGTATGAATTGAACATAACCAGATGCTTACATAATGTTTACTCATTCAATTAATACGCACAGATGCACGCTCCAGGTATTTGGCAAGTGTACAACATTAAACACATAATATAAATTGCTATTTGAAATTATTTGATATACCAAGCATTAAAAAATGATGTTGTGACATGCATCGTGGAAACAGTGAACCTCAACTGACTGATAATATCACACACCCTTACTATCGACCAAGTCACAGAGTCTGACCACTCAATCCATTTAGTCTCATCTCAGGTGGTGGGTTAGCCCAATGGTTAAAGCGTTTGCTTGCCAAAGGCCTGCTTTCAATTTCCCATATGGGTACAATTTGTCAGTCCCATTTCTGGTGTCCCTCCCCATGATATTGCTAAAATGTTGCTAAAAGTGTCGTAAAGCCATACTCTCAGTCCAAGGATAACATTTTTTATTAGTCTTGGTTCTCAGGCACCGCCAGCATCATCATAACGTTTTCTGATTCCATTTTTAAAAAAAAATATAAAAATCCTAATACGGTACTTAATAAAGACAATGCGATCCAATAAAGCTTGCAGTTACTTCCCTTTACATGCGCACTGCTTTGCTGCACATCTTTAATGGCAGCAATAGGAGTTTGTGTGTTATGTAAGGAGGCCCTGTCCCAGGTAGATGGTACACACCTGTTTATTTGGTTACATACTAGTTTGTTACAAGTAAAAAACACCGCCCGCCCGCACTATATTTTCAAAAGTCTTTCCTTGAGAACCAATTCTTTTATGTTTTAAGCCTAATGACCAGCAAAAGGACCCGGGTTCGATTCCCGACATAGGTACAATGTGTGAAGCCCATTTCTGGTGTCCCCCGCCGTGATATTGCTTGAATTTTGCTAAAAGCGGCGTGAAACCATATTCACTAACTCTAGAGCCTCACAGGCAGCATGGAAGTACTCCCCAGGGAGCTGAGAATATGGAGTTATTCGCATTACACTATTACATAATTTAGAAGCGGACTATTATTAATATGAATAACTGCACAAACAAGATCAACAGTTGTGGGATATGTTTAATACAGTAAATATAACAACAATGCACCAAATATATACTTACTACAAAAACTAAAACTTAGTAGGTGACATGGATGTGCAGATGCTAAAAACAAAATCGGAACAAAAGACCAGGAAAGGCACAGTTTTGTAAAGGTGTGACTTCACTTGTGTACTTCACATTGGAGGGAGGGGAGACTACTCAGTGAAACTGTATATATACTTACATAGCTATGATTTCAATGAACATTTTGCTTTTGAACATTCAGCTGTAGGGGTATAAATAGTTATGACTTACAGGTGAACTTCAAGGTGCAAGATCAATTTCCTATATGTTTCTGTAGCCTATCTGTTTGAGGACAAATTCTGATAAATGTCATGTCTATCACTTATAGGTCACACCATTGAGGAAGAATGATTGCAAAATGATAATGAAAGAACAAGTTGGAACATACATATTTATATATATTATTCAAAATTACTCAAAATTTCTACAAACAGTTTGATAAAATCTTATGGTTTTTTTTATCATTTCTCTTTTTTGGAAAACAGTAACCATAATGTTTTTGGTCAAAAGTCTTTCTTCTGATTTCAGTTGTTTTTTGGTCAGTCAGCCTGGTTAACAAACTAAACTTTTTTACGCGGCCTGATCAGAAGGAACAATTCCCAGACAACAGAAATACACATATTTCTCTTTTATTTCTGCCCAGTAGCTTTGAACAAGAATGGATGATAAAAACATGTATCAATTTGAACTGAAATAAATAAAACGTAAAACTTTGATCTTGCACCATTGATAGTAAGAAATACACAAGTTACATCGAGAAGGGGTATCTTATGTAATGGACCCTACCTATTACAAAGGAAAATATTCTAGGGAGTGAAATATGTAAAATGAGGTGACATCAACTTTCAATTTTTGAAAACTTGACATAAAATATAGAACCATGTCAAGTGAAATAGAGTATATAAAATTAGAAAATATGCTTTTTCTAACATGAAATTAAAAACAACTTGAAATACGATTTTAGCCTTTTCTGGCATTGCAAGTTAAGTAAACAATGTTATTTTGATCTACACAATATGCACATTTGCACAACAGTACTCACAACATGTGCACTGCATTTGCAGTACGTCTGTCACACTGGCGTTAACATGGCGAACATAAGCATCCTTCTTTAACAAGACTACAGACACAGATCAGCACCTTGCACAAAAAGGATCAGTTTCACCCTGTAGTGAATGTATTCCTATTCATTATGTAGGTCATTTCATCCTCGATTATCCAGTGTATAAGATCACCATTCTGTTATGATAGATGCGTTAGATTCATTTGCCACCATTGCTTCCTTGGAGTCTGGATTGAATGACATGAGGCTAAAAATAGACATCCAACCTAATACAGTAGCATGAAAATTAAAAACAACTTGGAAAAAGATTTTTGATTTTTCGGGCCTTTCAAGTTAAGTAAACAAACAAACTGAAAACAAACAAGGATATCAACAGAACATGGCTCATTCTTTGTTTGTCAGCTTTGTGGAAAAGGACTTCTCTCCCTTGTTTCAGTAGTCCAAAATTAATTTATGACACTTTTTTTTATTCAATTAAATATACCATAAGGTTGTTCTGAGAAAGCCATGATATTGTACATCCATGCTGGAATCATGTTCAGGAGAGGAGTTTAATTGGTTATGAGTGAGAGAAACTCGGAAGATGGACTTCAGAGAGATGAGGATGGAAACAAAAGCTATGCTTGCAATTGAGACCAGTGTAAGTATCAAAATATCCCTGGATAATTGAGGATGGACAGGGTAAGAATCTACCTTATAAACAACAACAGATATACATGTCTCCAGATTATGTTTAGTTTCTCCTTAACTAAAACAGTCTAAAACAACTAAAACATGTTGTGCAGATATACAACGTATCCTCGATGACATCATAAGGTCTTCCCAATACCCTCCATAACTAATAATCATTTCTGCACCAGTAATATAAATATAAAACAATCTTTTTTACTGCAATTCAATAACCACCTTGTTGAAAGGTATCAAAATGGAATAAAAGATCTCATTTCGGAAAATAAAAAGGAATAAAAACATTAATTAGTCTTCAGCCTTCTGGTACAGAATTCCCCCAGAGTACAAAAAGAGTCCATCAGATCAGACTCCTGATTCATTCAGGATTGTGACAAGTACCAATCCACTCGTTATCAGCCTCACCATTGAAGGGATATCTGAATGCAGGGATTTTTCTTGACCTGCTCTAAGGCCAATGTTTGGTCCCAAGTCTACAGCAAATTAATGTCAATAAAAAACTTCCTAATTCGTGGTAATATGGTCATAACATATGCTTATGTTACAGCTTTGTAGACATGACCTCTATTCAACTGATAACAGGGACAATAAAGAGAAGGAGGTTTTTTTGTATTAGGGCATAGTCTGAGAAAATATAAACATTGAACAAAAATCCCAATTTTGAACCAAATAAAGATTGTTTAGAATCCTAGAAAAATCCCTGGATTTGTATACAGATGAGCATATGATTCAATACACCTCTTCCTGAATAAAACCAGTTTTTGGTTAACATCATTCTGTTGTCATATTCCTTATGTTGTGCCATGTTGACACATACATCCACTTTACTATAAATGGAATTCAAATTTGTACGTGCTTCATTAGGAATAAATTGTTTAATCAATGCACTCCTACAATTTAGAAACATTCCCTACAGCATCTTTACAAATATACATCTATCACTTTATCCAATACAATATGATGGACATTCAAGTAACCGTCCATTGTATCTGACCATAAAGCATATTGATTTTTGTATGAAAAACTCACAATACTGTTTAACTATCACAGAATTAAATACATCATATATAAAATGTGTGAAGTTCGTATGTGTAGCTTAAGAAAAGATGCCCTAAGGAATGACCATTTGGTGGGGGGTGGGTCCATTTTTTTGGGGGTAAGCTCCACAGGATTCGAAAATGTCACAACTAATTTTTTCAAAACTATCAGTATAGATATACATTGAACAGTTTATTTTAAATCTGCAAACCTTATATTTCTGGAAAAATATATTTTCTTAAACAATCCCAAACACCACCTCCAGAATATCAAATGGGTCACCCCTTACAGTTAAACATGTTTCAGATATAAATGATTGTAAAATACTACAAGAACCTTACCAAATATTCTTCATGACTTGTCTTTAAAATGTTCATGAGCCAACAGATGACTGACCGACAGAAAAAAAAGATTGTTCAACCCGTGCACATCCTGTACATATATAATAGATTCTATTTAAAACTTAAAAATTGATTTAAGTATTCAAAGACTGATTGTCTCAAATCATCACAATGGCATCATCTAACAGATACTATTTGTCTATATACTATTTGTCCTACAACTACTTTACTACAATTATGGAGACTATGTAAAACAGTTGATATGAACCAAGTGTAATGTTCACTTAAGCTAGAGGGATCATCAGAACGTGTACTACAGATGTGTATGTAACGCAGGTACGTTTCAGGATACGGAAATGTACCCTCGCCAAAATCAGAATACAGAAAGGTTTCCTAGAATGAGTCCATTCCGCCACAGGCCACTTTGCCTAATGTGCTTAACCGGTTCCTTCAATGCTTACATGTACAGCATGTCCTTGATGCGGTAAAATTTAACATGGCAGTACGCGTTATATATTTTTCTTTTGGTATTTCCTTTCCATAAACTGGATCGGAACTGTCATACTGTTGTAGAGGTGCATTCCAGTGTGTTGTATAAAAATGAGCATACACAGTGCTGTATGTACAGCACTCTAATATTCCGCAATGCACAGCACTATCCAGTATGCACTCATATCACTTGTACCAGACCTACTACATGAACCAATTTCGGTTTCAGGTTGAGGAATATGGACTTGTCTGCTGCTTGGTACCTTTCTGTTTTCTGATTTGGCTAGGGTACATTTCTGTACACAGAAACATACCTGGGGTACGTCTGTAGTACCTGTGCCGACATCGACCCCTTCAGCTTCACTTACATTCCAACTACAACCACTGACTGATGTAACACATTAGTGATAGCTCATAATCAAGGCTTGTTGATAATATGCTCTTGGATAATGGATTGTCCAACTATTTGGTCTTGGTAAACAATTATCACAATAACAGTTCTCTATAAACAATGCAAAAATATACTTCAGGATGTAGATCTTCATTTGATGACTAGTTAGTATTATACTTGTTAGTAATGGTCCCTAAAGGTTGATGGATGCTCTCTGGACCACCATCACTCCATGTATTTCATCCTCCAGTATCTGTCTGCATTATTACATCACAGCACCTACAGTCAAGGTTAGAATTTAATTTACCGTATTCACCACATTAAACGCCTGCTTCAGGCACCCGTTCCACAAAGCGTTCATAGCACTAAGACGTCCGTAAGTCCCATACTTTGACAAGGAAGCTTAGGGTAATCGTGGCACTGAGATCGCTTTGTTGAGCAGGGCCCTGATAATATTAAATTCTTGCTTTGTTGGTTTTCTTGTTCAGTTTACCAAAAGTTGGTAAGAGGGACCACAACAATCCAATGTTGTCAGACTTGAAGTTTAACTGAGGTTTGTGCATTCACAAAACAAGAAAATGGATTGATCTTGCTTTACAAAACATATTTCCATGAATACTTTGATCTTTGGTTTTTATATCATACAAATAATTATACTTCTGGTCCTTTTCAGGTATTGACCTCACCAAGTGTAAACAAATGTTATACAGAAACTCATTCATAAAGTGCTTAATTTCATCTGTTTTGCAGTCTTCTTTTATAGCAATTACAATTCCTAGATATTGGCAGTAGTGGCAATAATTAATACCAGTTTCCCATATAGGCTGTCAGTCCATACTGATAGCAGACAGACATGTCTGGACCAAGCAAGTGCTTTTCATATAAAAAAAGTGACTTTTTAGTGGTACATGCTTGCCTTCAAAACTGTATTGATCATCCTATAAGAATACATAAAGAAGTAGTTATCGTATTTTAGCTGGATTAAAATAAATTTGGAAAGATCATTCAATTCTTTACACATCTCTGACAGTGTGAAACACTAAGCTTGCTGCACAATACTTGCATTGTGAGGTAGCCACTGGCTTTAAACCTCGTGATACGAATATGAACAACAATATTACAATATCCTATACCATCTCTTACACACAACATTTGCCTGAAAAACACACCATACATGCGGCACAGTCATGACAACATCAATGATAGCCCCACCTGCAGAACCCTGCCCCCACCTGCAGAACCTTCCTCCTCCACCTGCAGAACCTTGCCCCCACCTGCAGAACCTTGTCCCCCCCCCCACCTGCAGAACCTTGCCCACCCTACATCTGCAGAACCCCCACCTGCAGAACCTTGCCCCCACCCGCAGAACCTTGCCCTCACCTGCAGAACCTTGCCATTACATAAACACAGAGATAAACATAACTATTACTGACCAGCATGCCACAAGGGAGGGAGGGGTTCTTATTGAAGAGTCTCTCATTATATTAATCATACATTTTAGCAATCTCATTAGAAGCAGATTACTATTCCAATACGAAACCTATCTGCATGACACCTCCAAAGAAGGTTGTGTCAGGTGAAACCTGAGTGAACTTTGACTATCTAAAAAAATGAAGGATCAGTGGGTTCTTGAGCCAATCAGATGTTAGCTTCCTAAAACAATTCGTCTTTGATTCTTTACTACTTTGAATTTCAAGAATTTTTATTTTAACACTACTCAGTACTCACACAGCACACAAATACTCCTTGGATGGGTCTTTCTTTTGGGTATAGATGCCAGAGATTGCAAAAATGACAGGGTGTATTAAAATATTCATAACAATATAATGGCACAATATAAAAGTTTACATTTGGGACTGGCTGATTGACTTCATTTTCAAAATACAGAAATCAGAAATGGTCTAAATGCTTCTCACACATTTTGAGAATATAGATGCCTTGATGCTGATTGGCTGACCAGACATTTCACCCAACACGACCTTCTAGAGGTGTCCTCAGATCTTGATGCAGAGATTATTATGAGTCTGAGAACAAAAGGCACTTGGAAATTTCTAACTGCAGCTGATCCGACTACCTTCATTGGAATGTTACAAGAGCACCCCCTGCATTTAGCAAAGAACCGCAAAATATTACGCGATAGTTTTCTTCTTCAAAATTTGAATGATAAAATCAAAATGTCTTTTCAATAAAACTAGAGAAATAATGAAAAGAAACAATTCCCTGTCGCCTTGAAATATTATTGTGTTATTCTTCATTGATAAGAACTTCATATCATTATAAACTATGTGGAGTGTCCAGTAAAGCCACCAGTATGATATCCTCACATAGACTAGTAAGGTTTGACATATATCCCTTCTGACTTGTAAATACCCAAGAACCATTCGCTGCCCTATCTTCATTTTCAGCCCAATTTACCATTTTGGTGAAACCCACGAGCACTGGACAAACCTAGAAACATAATCCGGACAAATCCAGTGAAAATATACATGAGGTCACCTCTAAGGAACTACCTTTAATAAACTCCGTAGATCTAGGTTATGTCTGCTTTCTCAATCAACAACTGCCTAACATTCCCAATAAGTTTAGACAGACTTTTCTATAATGCTTGTGTGTCCGGAAACAAACAGCTACAGATCCTTTGGCACTATTTCATAAATGGAGCTGTTCACTCCAGCACTACATTCATGTGTGGATTTTATGCTTACTTCAGCTCATCAGCTAAAGAAATTATGTTTTAAAGGTTGCATAAGAATGACATTACGTAACAGAGTTTCAGATCGGTTCATTTTCCTGGACAGTGACTGATTGTCGTCAAAAATGTCCTGAAGATGTTTCGAAGTCTGGTAATGCTCCAGTAGAATGTCATACCAACAAGATCAAACCTTGAACAAATACCACGAGAATATCCTTACGCAACATCACAGCATAAAAAAGAGATTATTACCCATGTGTACAATCATGATCATGTAAGGTTTACATAATAGAATTTTGGTTCCTGATTATGTGACCGAAACACTCAGCTAATAATCTTCATATTCAGACTGGTCAGGCTGCCACTGTTAACATTATGAATTGCAAGTGTCACTAATGAGAAGTGTGGGTTTTTACCAGCTGAATGAGCTTGTGCAAGAACGTTCCGCTCGTAAGATCCTGCACACCCTACTTGTGACCCATGTAACAAATTTATCACTGTAAGAGTCCACAAGCTACAAAGACATATTTTCAATGACATATTTCTGTGTGACAGTTCGTATCATCTTGTGACCTCCATTGGACATCGAGTATGGCAACTCCAAGCATGCACAGGATCATTCATAATGTGACAAAAAAGCGATGTCACAATAAACATGACATAATGATATCCAAACCAGCCGGTCCAGTGACTTGTACAGGTAACAAGATGGTGATCTGTCAGTTTGAAAACTAGAGCCTTTAACAAGTACTGATAGTTACCACTGATTGTCAGACTATAGACATGCCAGATATATGCTGCAGTTAGTGGAATAGACAACGTCTTTCAGTAATTGTGTGGATGTCATGTTCAATGCATTATTAAATATCCCCCTAAATGAGCAGTTCAAGTTTTAATGTCGGACAAAAAACTGAATATACATTTATCTAAAAAAACACCCTCTTAAATAATAATGTAAAGTTTTGACATTTTCAGAAAGAAAAATGTACAAGTCATGGTATGTTAACATACAAAAATGTTAGCAATACATCAAAGAAGGTTTTTGAACTGGAACTACCTTTCTTGCAGTTGCTTTCATTTTACCTATGAGAGTGATGCTGTTTATTTTCAAAGTAAAAATATGATGATTAGAGCTCAGGGATAAGAATTAATCCATTTTTTCCAAAAAACCTAAATGGGGGACTATATGACTTGTTGCATATACTGTAATGGCATGTATTATAGTAAAGACCCCTGATGTAACGAATTCTGTGGAATACCATGGCTCCGCAGATAACTCTCGTCCCTGAGAGCTTTTGAACTGTACATCTCCTGAAAAGTTGATATTGTAAGATGGAAAACTTACAGCCCTGTTAACTCAACCCTAAACTAAGGCATTTAAATCAAAATCCAACATGAAACTTTCGAACTGCTCACTTATAGCCTTTGATAATCGGCACATCACAAATCAATCTCATTAAACGCAGATCTTAGTTCTCGTACCTCTAAACAAAGAACTGAGGATAACCCACTTCGGGTCCCAATCAGAGCATCTTTTACGAGTTCAGGAAAGTGACATTCAGATTGCATTTTCTAATCTTACAACTTCAAAAAAAGGATAACACAGGGTATTCTGAATGACAGTTATGGGCTTTACGACTGAATCTGTCAAAATCATCGTCTATCTCTCGCTTCAATAGGGTAAACATATAGAGGGAAGAGACTTTGTATTGCCCATGGAAAGTACTGCCATAATCTAGTTCTCAAATTTTGAATTGAGAATTTGTCAAAATATTTTTCAAAGCATAGCTGCCAGATTGAAAAAGCTGCTTTCTGATTGGCTGCTGTCGATTTCTTGTTAGTCATTTCATTGGTGGGTCAAAGTTTGCGAAAGGTCGTCCTGACGTGACCTGTAATGGGATGTCCTCAGATCTTTGTTTTGTGGTAGCGGGAACTAAGATCTGATTTTAATGAGATTGGGAAATACGTCTACATTCTTGCGCAGGGGAGGTAACTCCAATAACCATGATGATGCAACATCACAAAAACATGCCCTGAACATTTATTGGGGTATTATGTAGGAGTGAAACGATACAGCAAGGTCACGATACGATACATATCACGATACCTAGGTCACAATACAATATGTATTGCGATACGCATATTTACGTGAAATCAAGTGGAAACTTCTTGACCACAAATATTTCAGAGCAGGTTCCAAAGGAAAAACTAGCTGTAGATACATGTTTGTATCAGCTATTTTAAGTAGTGAAATTAATTAAACACGATATGCATATTTACGTGAAATCAAGTGGAAACTTCTTGACCAAAAATATTTCAGAGCAGGTTCCAAAGGAAAAGCTAGCTGTAGATACATGTTTGTATCAGCTATTTTAAGTAGTGAATTTAATTAAACAAGTGGTAAGTAATACATTTTAGCAAGTGTGTCGCCTCGTATCGATACAGAAAAATATGTTTTGTGTTTTGTATTGTGACCTGAAGACTCACGATGCACCAGCGCACCGATGTATTGTTTCACCCCTAGTATTATGACCTCAGAATATGTGGACCTATTACACATTGTCATATATGCCTGATTCTTGAGAGTAACATTATAGAGATCTTCTAGTTGTCAAATTATCAATCATGTCACTTTCTGGGTCTTAAACAACATTGTCTCTCTTCGGCAATCATACACTGAGCATTGCAATAAAAGATATTGTATTCAAATGAAGAAATCACCAGGAGTATTATGATGACAGTATTTCAAAATACCAGATTCTGGAATGAGATGAGATTTCTAATCCATAATATTCCACATGTTCTTACTGTGTACCCATACATTAATCCCATACAATTTGGAAACATAAAAATAATTAGTCAAATTAAAAATGAATCGAAAAAGAGCACCAAATCATCTATTCATTGAACAATCTGTGACTTTTTCAAAACTTTTAAGTTAAGATATTTGAACTCAGTGTATTCAAGTTTCAATTTAAAAAGAAAATAAATGTCAACACATTAAAACCACTTAAGAATTGACTTCAGTATGTTTTCAAGTTACGGAGGAGTTAACATAAAATGTAGTGTACACACTGTGAAGATTTACTTAAAGTGTGCACACCAGTTTATAAGTTAGTAACACCATGAACGCAAAAACATATTGAAGATATTTCTTATAAATAAATATACCAACAATAACTTCACAGACTGCTTATTAATTCATAAACACACAGAAACCAGTAGACAACAACACGAATCAGGGACATTGTTCAGTGAAATAATGCAACACACGCCCGGTCCGTTCTGTTTACTTTGATACCGATTCGTGCATGATTGAGAAATCCTTCTCAACAGACTAAGTTTTCTTACATATTGGTGATAATGCCCTATTTTGTCATGAAGTTGTTCCTGATGAAAACCAAACTATTAGCACTTCATCTTAGATGATAAATACTGAAAAATATAAACATGATAAACAAAAGAAAAAATCTTTTCTGATATTTAGGAATTACAGACACCAGGTTGATAACATGGACACCTTGTCATTATTATTAAATATGCATGTCAAAATGAAGAAAACATGGTTTGTTTGATTCATAAAGCTAATCAGGGAAGAAATGAATGAGGTAAGACATTCATTTTCCCCATCAAACATTTCTTTAAATATCTTTGTCATGTTGCAGCGTTAGATATTGGCACCAGTCCTGAAGTCCTTGCCAAACTGGTCAATAGGTAAGCAGTAAGGTAGGTAAGGTATCACAAGGACTATAGAAATTTGCCATTTTTAAGGGTTATGCTATATGTTATCATTATAAGGAGTAGTCGACTAAAAATGTTAGTTTCTACGGCTGTGATGGCAAAGTATAATGTTAACATTCATAAAAAAAATTCATTTTTGTTAATGCTGCTGAAAGAAATCAAGAATATTTTTACAAGGGTATTCAGTAGTCAGTGATTATGGATGAAGTGGCATAAGGTCCTTTGCACATGAAAACCATGTGAATATGTAGCAAAAACTTAACAAAAATTGTTCACTAGGTTTCAAATGACTTGTGACAAGTTATCACTCGATACAGTGTGTGATGAATCGTAAGCTATATGGAATGAATTGAGAAAATCATCCACGAAAATACTTGTCATACTGGACTAAAACCACAGATTTCTGTGTTTGTTAAGTAGCCATCATACTTGCCCTCTTAATGAGCTAGTATTAAATTCCAAAGCTGAATAAATTATCTGTAATATCAGAAAGAACATTTTTTTACATAAAAATACAGTTTCAGCCCTTGACAGAAGACACAAAACATTTATACTTGAGATCTAGCACAAAACATGTCTTCTTAATTGTGTAATAATTCCAATATTCCTTTTGGTTCAGAAGATAAGAGATTCATCTGTGTTTGTTGTAAATCATGTGTACTTATTGCAGTGAGAAAGTGCTCCTTCTCATTGCAGCAGAGAGATAGGGGTTCGGCTCAGGGTCTTCAGTCATCAGGACCACTTTCACCCATTCCTTCAGTTTGCTGGAGCGCCGGACTGCGTCAACAACTGTCTGCACGTAGAAAGAATCTTCAAATGTTGCTGCAAGCTGCAGAGGTTCCGTGCACCAGCTCTGTCGTTCTTCTTCCCGGCCAAAAGCATCTTTAACCCCTTCGATCATGCGAATCATTCCTTTCAGATAAGGAATGGGTATCTCTTTCCTTGCTTGGTCAGAAATACCAAACTTTTTGTCTTCTTTGATATTGCCATGATCAAAATGTAAAAGATCTTCCTTCAGTTTGTCATGCTTTTGTCCAAAAAGGTCTGCACCTCTTGCAACCAGTCTTCCCTTTGTTCCAATAACTATTATCTCTTGAGTAAATTGGCCTGGCATGTGAGAGTTAACAGTTACTGTTGTGCTGGCACCTTTTTCCATTTCCATTTGAAATGTGCAAAAATCATCACTCGTAATTTCTCTTATACCTTTAATTTTCTCAGTTTGTTTTGTGTATGTCTTCAGCATTCCATGCACACGTAATGCTTTCTGTGAGGTGAGGAAAGTGACAATATCAATAATATTGCTTCCCATTGCATTGAGAACGCCACCTCCCATTAGTTCATCACACATCCAATCAAACTTCTCCCTTGGATATGCCCCATAATGCACCTTTACTTCGCATATTGTCACATCGCCAACGTATCCCTCTTCTATATAAGTTTTCATTTTGGACACAATTGGTAAAAATCGTAATCCATGACACATTAGTGACATCAGTCGAGGATAGTACCGAGCAGCATTGACCATATGAAGGGCTTCCCTTTCACTGGGTCCAAATGGTGATCCACACAAAACATGCTTCCCAATTCTTAGAGCTTTCACAACAATTGGAGCCTGGAGATGTGGTGAACAACTGATGACAACCAGATCAACATCTTTGTCGAGAAGAACCTCGTCGACTTTATTAGTGCTGTGTGGAATTCCCAGTTCCTTGGCTAAGCAGTCTGCTTCTTCCACAGTACATCCCCACAGCGCGACAACATTGAAGCCACATATCTTAAGGATGGGCACAACACATTTGATCACTGCTGTGGTTCCAAACACTCCGACACCCGGAAGCATTTTTCTCATCTCGCAATGGCTTGAATATTTAACACTGTGTAATACAGAAAGTTGAAAATATCATTTGCTAGCTACTAGGAGGATGCTATTTGTAGGTGTGGTGGTCATAGCCATCATATGTCACTGTGATGTCATTTTCTTTGGAAGAATCAACCCGTTTATGAAGAATACTGATCCTGTACATGTAATCTTGTGAGATATCCTTCTGCTTCTTGTGACATCGCAAACAGAAACGTGAGCGATTGACAGTTCGTCACGAGCCTCAGCAGTTAAGGATGCGAAACATGACGAATGTTTATCAGGTTTTCCCTCCGTAACATCGTTTTCAGAAGCCGTTCTTCATAATGGGGTGATGTAAACTTTCATAAAAGAGATGGGCACTACATATTACATGATGAAGAAGCTGCACGTAATCCTTTGAAAGCTTTCTTGCAGACGATCAACAGTGTCAAAACTGCTCTCAAAATATTGTTTTGCGTCCTGAAACTATTATGGCTACCACATATTCCAGCAAACGTATCTGTGGAAATCTTTGTTTTTACTTTAAAGTTCAGTTTGCATTTCAAATCCATGCCTAAAATATGGTGGTATTACTTTTGAAACAGGCATAATCCTAACGATAGTGAGTCTGTAAATTTATGCAGTAATATTGCTGCATACGTATACCTTGTTACAGATATCATTAGTTGTAGCACTAGTATTTTTAAACATTTCGATTGACGGCAAACTTTGTTGTCGTAATTGTAAAACCATATCATTTGCCAAAAAATGCAGACGTTTGTTTCTGCTGGGCCTTTTATGGTCTTATTACTGTCTACCCTAGGAGAAGCAAGTAGAAGAAGATGTACGTTTACGACAATAAACTAAACCAGCTCCCCACCGAGGATGTAGAATTCGCTCCCACTATACATTATCGACACTGCAGTGACACGGTGTGAGGAGTATAGTGTAAACACAAACACAACAACTGAAAAGAACTGCCAGTGGGTATATATATCTTCCGGATAGACATTAGAAGACGAGGTCAACAACAAGGTTTTTTCACTGATTTCTGTTCCCTATATTTATATCTTTATTCTTTTGACCTCATTCATTGTTGTCATTATATTTAGAGGCAAACAGAAAACGTGAACATATTCCTCAAATATAGTTGATTATGTAAGCACGGTAAAGAAAACTAAGAAAAACGGACACCTTTCCTTTTCTTTGTATCTATTTATAAAGGTACAAGGTTTTCAGATCAGTCCATTTTCCAAGACAATGTCAGATAAAATGTCCCAGAGGTTTTTGTTCAAAATCTGTCATTAGATAAGAGTAATCTATTGTATAAACACATGACCTTGTACATACTCTCCCATAACAAATGTCATGTCATTCAGTTCCCTCTAAATTGTGTAACGTCAATCTTGTCACAACTGACTTCACCTATAGGAATGATAACTGGCTTCATTTGTATGTATAATAATATTAATAAATGTCATGTTCTCTCTCATTGTCAATCCCCGGAAGAAAGGGCAAGAATTTTTAAGTCGTTCTTGAATGTTGTGTAGGAAAAATATAGAGGTTGTTACTCATAATAGTCCCTGTCGTGAATAATCAATATAGATGTAGGTCTTATGCCCTATTGAGAGTTCATAAGATCTCGAAATGTCTCAATACCATTGTCAAAGCAATATCACTGAAGGTACTATATATATACATGTACATTCAAGATTACCTGTGAAGATCCGGGATAGAATAGGTCTTCAGCAACCCATGCTTGCCGTAAAAGGCGACTATGCTTGTCATAAGAGGCGATTAACGAGATCAGGTGGACAGGCTCCCTGACTTGATCGATGCACATCATCGTATCCCAATTGCGTGGATCGATGCTCATGTTGTCGATCACTGGATTATAGACCGCCGTCATATTGCTTGAATATTGCAGAGTGCATCATTAAACAACAAACAAACGAACGTCCAAGATCTATTGAGTATTAGTATTTTTTCAAAAAGAACCTTTTGATTATTCTTATCCAATGCCTTTGCTTCTGTGAGTATGTTCATGATTTATAAAGTCATTATCTGTTGCAGGAGGTCTATTGGTGAAAGATGAGGAAACACCGTGCCACGTTTGCCATGAGCTGATTTTGGTTCCCCGAGGCACAGTTTGGTTGTGCCCCGGGGGTGATTGGCACCCGAGTCGGGTTCACAGGGGGAACAACTCCCAACCCAACTTATAGAAACATGTGAGTCTTTTTTCCCTTCTACATACAGTCAAGTCCTGTTAATCCATCATGGTTGGTTGCATATGATTATGTCGGATTAACAAGTATGTTGGATAAACGAAATTAAGTGGCATCAAAATTTTGATCGAAAATCGGACAACTACACAAAAGATAGCAATATAAACACATTGTAATAAAAAATGAAAAATGAAATATTCAAGAAAACTGCTTTCTTAGTGGCTAATGTTGACTTCCTGTTAGTCATTGAATTGGTTTTGCAGAGAGTTTGCGAAAGGTCGTTCTGGCAAGACCTGTAATGGGATGTCGTTGGCGGTAGCGAGAACCTTCATCTGAATTTAATGAGATTGAGGTTATCTAAACATGTGATTAATCCTGTTTTAAGCATTGATTGTTATTGTTAAGCAAATTTATCTCTGCAGCCATTGGAATATGCAGTCACTAATTGACTCGTCTCACATCAAAACACGGGCTGTGTTCTTATGAGCAGATGACCATGGAGTATGCTAATCACTGTGACCAATTATGAGACATTATGAGTGATTTCGGTAATTTGACGCAAATTAGGTCTGTCATAGTCGAAGTGCGAGACTGTCGGATTGAGGGGTCTAAACAGCACTGATTTAATTGGTTCCATTATTATTCAGATTAACAAGTGTCGGATTAACAAGACTTGACTGTAATCAGGTAATTTAGCCCCCTTTGGGCACACTGGGTTAGAATATTTCCCCAGCAACCTTTTCTGATTGTAAAGTTGACCAAAGTGATTGGCTGGTCAGGGTGGTCACTTAGTTAAATGAGTGCCTTCATAACCTGACGACATGCATCGTTGCTCACAATATCAATCACTCTTTTGCTGGTTCAGACTCGATTGAAAACAGGTTGCTGTCATATAGCTGAAATATTGCTGTGCAGCGTTAAATACAAACACACATAATTAAGCTGTCGGTATGAACACAAGAATCCTTGTTTTTAGAAATCAAATTGCCAAAATTCGTAAAGACAATCTTTGTGTTCCAAATACAGAAATTGGTTTTAAAATGGTTGTGGAAAAACGTTGCAATCAAGTTCTCACATTTACTGTGTGCGAGACACCGTTTAACATGACTATGCAAGCCAGGAAATGTTTGGTATCTTTGAGTTCTGTTGTTTATGGCAATCATAGCATCGGTCTACAAATCAAGTATATAACATAAGATGTCTCCCTTTTCAGTATTGTAATGAAATATCGAAATCAAAATGTCTTAAAGTTACCATTGCGTCTTTTCATGTTAACACATTCAACTGAACATATTTCACGTCAAACAAAACAAAGAAAATATGCATTTTGAATAAATTATCAATGCATGTATTTCCCTCACTTGCCCGTAAGACCCATGGACTGGTCACAAAACTATTACTGATAGAGGAGAAAGCTATATATTGCTCTTAAAAGATCCAGGACTTGAGATGCACCATTTGTCTCGTGCAGGATTAGCGTGTAAAGTTTTGAAGTCATGTGCAGCATATTATAAGAATAAAGACACTCTGTGGTAACATCTGAGTGATTGTTAGTTTTGTCATTAATTGGTACGCATGGGAAACATCTCTTCTTAGTGTACAAACTTCTCTGTATGTTTGTATGGTTCGCGTTTCTTTTAGTGGTGAGTATAGCTACATCCCTTAATCGTGCCAGAAACCTGATTGTGGGTTCCAATCCCCAATTTGCTCTGGTTATGTTTCTAGGTTTGTCAGCATCAACCCAGGCCTATTGGTTTTACAAAAGCAGTGGGGGGCACGGGTGGCCCAGTCGTCTAAGGCGCCGCGATTCGCTGTGCAGAGTTGCGTCCCTTGGACATGCCAGAAACCTATGATTGTGGGTTCGAATCCCGGTTCACCCCGATTATGTTTCTAGGTTTGTCAGCACCATACCTGTGCTCGTGGGTTTCACCGAAGTGGTAAACGTCTGAGACCTGCATCACTTCGGGCTTTCCTCCCACATAAAGCTGACACGCCGTGATATGACTGGAATACTGTTAAAAGCGGTGTTAAAGCCAGCTCACTCTCACTCACTACAAAATCAGTGTTCCTACTGGCTTTTGAAACTGCCAGTCCCAGTGGATTGGCAACTCTAAAAATTACCAGTCCCCATCGAGTTTTGTCAGTCCCAACTTTGAACCAAAATGCAAACATGAAAATTTCCTGGTTTTATTTCTTTCAACATCATGTTCATTGCAGTGTATGTTCATTGCTGACAAATTCAATGGCGTCATGTCTTAAATAGCTTGGTTAGATCTACACATAATTCTCACCAAGTTTAGTGACAAGTTTCTCCCTTTTTTTTGTTATATTTCACTGTGGCTTGAGACTATGTTGTTCAAACTGATTTTTAACCTCGAAGCAAAGCAAAATGTTATATCCTTGCACTTAAAAATAGACAACGGGAAACCCTAATGATAAAAGAAAAGCTGACTTTGTTAGAAAAATATACTTTATTGATTATCGCCAATGTTTTGTTCAACAACAAAGATTTACGAGGTATTGTATTTCCCAGTCCACAGGGACTGTCAGTTACATGAATTTCCAGTCCAAGCCTAATGTTATCGGTAAAAAATGGTTATTACTGGTTAATGGGAACACTGCCAAAGTGTTAAACACTTAGGACCTGCATCATTTCGGGCTTTCCACCACATCAAGCTGACAATCTGTGATTATACTGAAATACTGTTTATAGTGGCTTTTAACACAATCTCATTAAAATCAGATCTAAGTTCTCGCTACCGCTAAACAAAGATTTGAGGACATCCCATTAGGCGTCACGTCAGAAAGACCTTTCATCTGACCAATCAGAGCGTCGCTTACCAGATCATGAAAGTGACAGTCGGAATGTGATTTCTAATCAGGCAACCTCGAAAACTTTAAAACGGGGTATTCCGAATGATAGTTATGGGCTTAACGATTGAATCTATACAATCTAGACCATATATTAGCCATTCCAGAATGTTCTTTTGTTCAGGTTTCAAATTTTTAAGCGAGAATTTGTCAAAATATGTTTCGAAGCGTAATCGCCAATTTCAAATTAGTGCCGTAAAGCACGAGAAAGCTGCCTTCTGATTGGCTAATGTCGACTTCTTGTCAGTAATTCCATTGGTCGGGCAGAGTGTACAAAAGGTCGGTCTGACGTGACCCGTAATGGGATGTCCTCAGATCTTTGTTCAGCGGCAGCGAGAACTAAGATCTGATTTTAATGAGATTGCGTTTAACACAACTGACGTGTTATTCCAGTATGTTTCTGTTGTCAGGGGTGACCACACAGAGACTGTCGAGGTTGTGTTTGATCCAGAGTTAACCAGTTTCCGTGCTCTGCTGGGGATGTTCTGGAAGAATCACGACCCAACTTCGTCCCACAGTCGGCAGTACATGTCGGCCATATTCTACCATGATGAAGAGCAGCGGAAGATGGCGGAGCTCACTATGAAGGAACAGCAGAGTAGTCGAGCCCGCCCCATCGCCACAGTGATTACCAAGGCAAAGACTTTCTATAATGCTGAGGAGTAAGTTCATCACGTGATATAGTATTTTCATCTGTAATACTCTTAATTGTAGACCACCTCCATGGTCCAGGTTTCGACCCTGGCCCTGTCATACCAAAAGATGTTAAATGATGGTACTTGTTGTTACCCTAATGGCGTTTGCCATTAAGGGGCGAAAACAAGGACTGGTCGGCTCAGAGTCAGTATACTGTGTTAAACCCCATTTCACCTCACCTCATCTCTTAATCATATTTCTGATGAGGTACGAGTATTAGACACATCCTTGATTTTTGTAGATTAGCAAGGCAAAGACCTTCTATAATGCTGAGTATACAACCCAAGCTGCCTTGTCAGGCGCTAGAAGGTTAACATTCCATCTCATCCCACTGGGTACCCATTGTTACTGCTGGGTGTACAGAGGCACATTTCAAATAAGGTCAGTTGCCTAAGGTGGGGCAGGGGTGGCCAAGTTGTCTAAGGCACCACAATTCGTTGGGCAGAGTTGCATCCCTTGCGCACGCCAGAAACCTGTTATTGTGGGTTTGAATCCCGGCTCACCCCGATTATGTCTCTAGGTTTGTCAGCACCATATCCATGCTCGTGGGTTTCACCAAAGTGGTAAACGTCTTAGACCTGCATCAATTCGGGCTTTTCCTCCTACATTAAGCTGACACACCATGATATAACTGGAATAATGTTAAAAGCGGCGTTAAACCCAACTCACTCACTCACATGCCTAAGGAGACACATGTGCTACTTGTGGTTCAGTGTGGGGCAGGACTAAACTCGCAGGAGTCAAGCTGCCGAACACAGTCACCCATCCAAGGACTCTCCAAGACTAACGTTGCCTAACTTCACTTGAATTGTGACCTCTGCTCCGTGCAGAGGACCACAACCTACACTGGCTGTAATAGGCGACTTAATGGATCAGGTGGTCAGAACCGTTGACTTGGTTGTTAGTGTGTCCCAGTACCCCGATGTGCTCACAATATTGATCACTGGATTTCTTGTCCAGACTCAATTATTTACCATCTTCCCGAGGCAAGAGAGTAAACTGACTATAAAAGTCAGGTATTATGGAGTTACATTTTGGCTGGACTAAAGAGTCTATGCATAGTCCAATCAAAATTGCGCACCGAAATCGAAATCCGGTTCGTAAACTGTCGTACAGATTTCGGTCGATTGCAGGATTTGCAAATCATGTGCACCGCCAACTCATTGTCAGCAGATATTTCCAAACCTTTTCACGTTTTTAATCAAGGTGCCAATGTGATTTGATGCATTTCACGATGTAAGACCCGTTTTATCACAATATGGATCTGGATTATTGATCAGATCGTCTTGACTTGGTGTCACCATTTCTTGTGGAGCAAACGCAAGTGATACGAGAGGTGGAATCTGATTGGTCCATAGGAGAGGCTTAGAAGGAACATAACTGGTAATAGCCACTGGTGGCGCTACGATCGAGCCCAGTAATTCCAGCCTAGTTCGGCAAGGGTGGAAACTGGACTTTTAAAGTCAGTTAACTCTCTTGCCTCGGGAAGTTGTTATTTACAGGCCACTGTCATATAGCTGGAATATTGCTGAGTGTGTCATTATACAAACAAAGAAACAAACAAACACACATACTCTCAAAATTACCAGTCACCCTCTAGTTTTGTCAGTCACAACTTTGAACGAATAAATAAACGCATAAAAATTGCCTGGTTTAAATTCTTTCAACATCCTGTTCAGTGCAGTGTATGTTCATGGCTGACAAATTCATTGAAATCATCACTGCAAACACAAACTTTCTTACTTTTTTAAATGTTTCACTTTAATATTTTCAAGACGAAGTCACTATAAATGGATAATTAACCTCGAAGCACAGCAAAATGTTATTTCCTTGAACTAAAAAAAGACAACAGGAAACCCTGATGATAACAGACAAGCTTTATTGTTTATCGACGATGTTTTGGTCCACAACATTGATTTATAAGGTACTTTATTTGCTGGTCCACAGGGACTGGCAGTCACATGAATTACTGGTCCAAGCCTAATTTTGCCGTTAAAAAAACCCAGTGAACGGGAACACTGTTGTCCTAAGAGGTGACACAACTTGATTGCGTTCATCATACCCATATGGGGTGGGCGTGGGCGTGGGCGTGGGCGTGGGCGTGGGCGTGTTCATAATATCAGTCAGTCTGGTCAAGACATAATTATTTACAGGCTGTGTCATATAGTTCGAATATTGCTGAGTGAAGCGTTAAAACAATAAACAAGAAGTACAAATAAAGGAGGTACATAAATGGGTGCTTCCAATGGACAGAACTGCAAAAGTTTAACGTGGATAGTGTCATGGTAGCTCTGTCTTTCTCAGCTACCACCAGAAGTATATGCTGCGTCATTACCCTGACCTCGTCCAGTCACTCCGCCTCAACAACGATGAGATCATCACATCAGCTGTGGCAGCCCGACTCAATGGCTACCTCGGCGGGAATGGAAATCTGGAGCAGTTTGATGAGGTAGGAGGCGTGATGCTAAATCAAAAAAGGAAAAGGTTATTCTCCAGCTTGGATGAGGGATTGGTAATTTTTTATGGGTGATGGGAGGAGTGAGATTTAGGGGTCATGAAGAAATGACAGAGCAAAAGTTATCACAATTATATGGAGGGGGCTTGTTTGGGTTATGCAAAACTGTTTGAACATTATTTAGGGACTGGTCGTTTATTATAGGGAGGGTAGTGGTCTTGTAAACATTTAACATGTATGGGGGGGGGGGGGGAGGGTGCAACAAAATATGACCAATCTCACCTAACCTTTCCCCTATAAACTGTCATAATGTTTCAGTTGGTTAATTTTGAATCTGTCTACAGTTACAGGATAGTCTAGTCCAGTGGTTAATGTGTTTGCTTACTTATCAAATGGTCTTAGTTTATTTCTCAATGTGGGATTTTAAAAAAAAAACTAATGTGTTCCTCTAAAGGCTGGAAAAAACTTGTTTGTTCTCAGCTTTACAACAAGAATTGTTTTAACTGCATGTGTGTGTATTCTGCAAAATATGTTTTGTGTAAAAAAGGTAAATGTTGTTTGGCTTCTTGTTTCATAGAATGAAATTGCATGTTTTGAGTTGGTGAATGAAAAATATTCTGTTTCAAACTAAAATTTGCCCACCAAACCCCATCCGAAGATTAAATGTTTGTTTGTTGTTGTTAAACGCCACCCTCAGCAATATGTCAGAAATATGTTGGCGGTCTGTAAATAATCAAGTCTGGACCAGACAATCCAGTGATTGACATCATGACTATCGACCAACGCAATTAGGATACGATGACATTCATCAACCAAGTCAGCGAGTCTGACCACCTGATCCCGTTAGTAGCGTGTGTTGCAAAGCGCCAATCACTTTCAAGCAATGTACAGCGATTTGCCTTATAATGGGGCGCTAACTTTCAGCCGCTTGACATCGTACCAATCTCTGGCTGAGGTCGCTTGGTTCTCAAACCAAAATGGCGGCTGAGTTAGACAGCGGGAACAGGAAATTCTTGACTGGATTAGCTGGGAAATGGGCAAAGGCAGCAAACACCCCATCATCCTCAGTCTGCTCCTCATCAACTCGTCATCAAGCTTCTTCTGTTACGTTCTTCATTAGGGCAAGGCAATTAGGTTAGGGTCAGTGTGTTCTGGGGGCATTTATAGATGTCCAGGGTTTTTTCTGTAGACAATGTATTTCTGCATGTTCCAGGAATGTTCCACATTTGGCCTGTCAAGAAGTCAAATGGAGGTTGTCAGGAAGAAGGTCAACAGTCGCATGTAGTCCCAGTTGGCCCTTACCCTAACCCTAAACCCTAACCAAGTCCAAGCCCTAGCACAATCCCCACCCAAGCCCTAGCACAATCCCCACCCAAGCCCTAGCACAATCCCCACCCAAGCCCTAGCACAATCCCTACCCAAGCCCTTGCACAATCCCCACCCAAGCCCTAGCACAATCCCTACCCAAGCCCTAGCACAATCCCCACCCAAGTCTAGCACAATCCCTACCCAAGCCCTAGCACAATCCCCACCCAAGCCCTAGCACAATCCCCACCCAAGCACAATCCCTACCCAAGCCCTAGCACAATCCCCACCCAAGCCCTAGCACAATCCCCACCCAAGCCCTAGCACAATCCCTACCCAAGCCCTAGCACAATCCCCACCCAAGCCCTAGCACAATCCCCACCCAAGCCCTAGCACAATCCCTACCCAAGCCCTAGCACAATCCCCACCCAAGCCCTAGCACATTCCCTACCCAAGCCCTAGCACAATCCCCACCCAAGCCCTAGCACAATCCCTACCCAAGCCCTAGCACAATCCCCACCCAAGCCCTAGCACAATCCCCACCCAAGCCCTAGCACAATCCCTACCCAAGCCCTAGCACATTCCCTACCCAAGCCCTAGCACAATCCCCACCCAAGCCCTAGCACAATCCCTACCCAAGCCCTAGCACAATCCCCACCCAAGCCCTAGCACAATCCCTACCCAAGCCCTAGCACAATCCCCACCCAAGCCCTAGCACAATCCCTACCCAAGCCCTAGCACAATCCCCACCCAAGCCCTAGCACAATCCCCACCCAAGCCCTAGCACAATCCCCACCCAAGCCCTAGCAAAATCCCCACCCAAGCCCTAGCACAATCCCTACCCAAGCCCCAGCACAATCCCTATCCCAAGGAATTCCCTACCCTAACCCTAGCCCAAGCCCCAAACACAATTTCCTATTCAAGCACTAGGACTAGCCCCAGGTGATGTGCACGCAAATACCTCACATTTCTTATTGTGGATCTCACCATATATGTTTTTACCAACTTAAGGACCAGGGCCTCCTTGAACGCCCCCTTAGTCTCAGGTGATCTTAACTTCGCCCTTAGCGCTACATTAAGCTCGTCAACCTCTTTATCAAAGCCCCCTTAGGCTAAGATCAAAACCAAAGGGAACTATGACCCACCTTTAGCTACAAGAATGCTCGTGAAAATGGCGGCATTCGTCATATTGAATGAAGCTAGGAAAAATAATCTGTTCAAAAGAGAAAGAAAATTACAGGATTGGACACGTTATCTATTTGAGATTCTAAGACCCTTCATTGAACATTCCACTAAGCGTTCCCATGCAATTACACCAGAAACACATTCTTGTTAACGCTTCGTTGTCTGAGCAAGAGGGAGTTCTTCATGCAGATTTGAGATTTCATACTAAAGCATATCAAGAGCCTTCGATAAAACTGTCGAAAGCCTCTGTAAAACTCTTCCTGCCAATTGACAATTGATGGGACATGGTACCCATTTCTGCCATTGAAACCAACAACCTCTTCTTTCCATTGTTAGTGATGGTGTTTGAAAAATGGAAAAAATCACATCACTGTGAAGTTTTACTTCTTCAGCAATGATTTCTAACTCCTTACTGCTGAAGTTGATCTTTCGCACTCGTTTTGGCTTAGTTGACCTAGACATTTTACAACCACTTCAGTCATCTGCCCGATTATCTGAGTGCAGGGGCACGTGGTGGCAAGGGACACTACTCTAGCATCTCCATTGCAAAAGAATTCCATCTTAGTGCAAAGGGTGGTCATAGAAATCTTATCCTTACCATGACACTGATGGCCCTTTGTGAAACAAGTGTAAAAATGTTTTAAGGTCACCCTTAACATCCTTAAGGGTGCTCTTAGCAAAGGGGAGTTTGTGCAGGCGGCCCAGTCATCCATTGTATGGAGCATTCAGGCCAGGGATTTGTTGGAGTGAACTGAAAAGTAATACCCCCCTCTTGTATAGATTTTGGATTTTGCGACCCAACTGATTCCTGATTGTCAAGGTAAACGTGACCTATACTTTTCAACATCATGTTGTGGGGATTTTTTTATGTTAAAAACGTTTATATGCATCATTTAGGCTAAAAAAATAGTCTTGGTTCTCAGGCACCGCCCGCATCATCATAAAGTTCGCTGCATTTTTCATTTATGTTTCTATTTTTAAAAATATATAAAAAATTCCTTAAGTCCAACGGTATTCAAATACTGTTTTCCAGTATTTTACTCATCAAGGAATACATTAATGTAGGGAGGCCCTTTGCCAGGTTGATTGTACACAACTGTTTGTTTGGTTACACAACTGTTTGTTTGGTTACACAACTGTTTATTTGGTTATATACTTGTTTGAACAAACCCCCCAAATTTTTTTAAAAATGACACTGCCCGCCCGCACTATATTTACAAAAAAACATTGCCTGAGAACCAATTCTTTTACAGGTTATTGGGTATTATAGCTAAAATGGATGGAATTTGTTATCACATAAAAGGAAACAGCAATATCGGCTTTGAAACATTTACTGCAATCAACACGAATGTCACTGACCCACTTTTTACAAATATGGAAACGTCATAGAACAAACTAGATGGATGTCACTATTGAACGTGACATCACCTATCCCTATTCTATGACGTCACCTAACAAAGGGCATGATAATGGCCCGTCGTCAAGCAATATGAGGGCATTATCAAGTTACAGTGGCCCGCTCATTTCTGATAACATGCGGGCAGTTCAATGATAATTCTATCCATTTTAGCTACAATACCCAATAACCTGTGTCTGGCTCCTTAAAGTAAATCTTACATCCATAGTGTCAGTACTGCACAGGTTTGTTTCAGAAAGAAGTACAGCAGTTTTTTGTTGTAATCGGGACACATGTTCATTTTTAAGTGATATCAGGAAAAGAGACCATTTATGACTAATGGAATTCCAACCATTGTCAGCCATTAAAGTAGTCTGCAGAACAGATGGGACAATCCTATGGCCTATGTTGCACATATTTCACATGTTGTCAAGTGAGAACCATTACCGTTTGAGCTGAGTTCTCATTGGTTTCCGGGGGCACGGGTGGCCCAGTCGTCTAAGGCGCCGCGATTCGCTGTGCAGAGTTGCGTCCCTTAGGCATGCCAGAAACCTATGATTGTGGATTTGAATCCCGGTTCGCCCCGATTATGTTTCTAGGTTTGTCAGCACCATACCTGTGCTCGTGGGTTTAACCGAAGTGGTAAACGTCTGAGACCTGCATTACTTCGAGCTTTCCTCCCACATTATGCTTACACGCCGTGATATAACTGTAATACTGTTAAAAGCGGCGTTAAAACTAACTCACTCACTCATTGGTTTCCATTTTTTCAGACTAGTGGTTATGTAAAATCCAAGTATATTTTGGAAGAAAACAACTTGTCCGTTTAGATTTTCACTAGGCTCGCACTAATGGTCTAGTGGCTGTATCTATCCCTGTGTATACAAACCTGTGAAGTACCCATGATGTATGTAAGATGGAGTCAGTGTGTGATATCAACTGTGTTTGCTAAAATATAGGTAGACTTACCTCTCTACGTCAGTTATGTTCATACAGTTATTACTATTGTCATAGGGAGGTGGGGTAGCCTAGTGGTTAAAGCGTTTGCTTGTTCACGCCAAAGACCTGGGTTGATACAATGTGAAACCCATTTCTGGTGTCCCCCGCCGTGATATTGCTGGAATATTGCTTAAAGCTGCTTACTTAATCACTATCATTATAGCTTATATTTGACACATGTGATGAGGCTTTTATATATGATGTTATGAAAGATGGAAATAAAATGATTATTTTTTCAGCTGGAATTTAAAACATGTATTAAAACCAACCCATTATGAGTCAATTAAGGTATTTTGTTCCTGAATAAAACTGAATTTAAGTTCTATTTAAACTGTTTTTGTTATCTTGGCACTGGGAAGCCAACAATTAATTATTCAAATTTCATCACAAACAATGTGAGCCAGGAGGCATTATATATTTTATATACGATCTGCACATTAACTGTTCACAGATGTGATTCACCTGATCTTTATTTCAGGTTAGAGGCCACAGGCCCATAAAATCTAACATTACAGAAATACAATTACTGATAGAGTGACTTATACAATTTCATTGCATTCAATATGAATTTTGATAGCTGTACAATAGTAGGTTTATGATTAGATGACATCAGACGAACAAAGGATTCCAGTGACGGACTTACAAAGTATTTAGGATCAGTGTATCGATATCTTAAATCATTAAAAGCAGGGCATACAAGTGCAAAATGATATTTATTTTCCACTAGACTAATATTTAATCGAAGATAATATCCACACAAGCAACATTCTGGATCGATGCCTCTGCCCATTTCGATCATCAACTGATGACAGCCACATCTAAATCTTGACAGCATTTGTTTCAATAGTGTAGAGTCGACTTGTGTAAGATATACTTCGGTCTGTAAAACTGATCTGTAGGTTGAATATGCCATTAGCTTTGGATTTGATGATATTGATGAATGCCATCGTTAGATGTAATCAGATACACGTTGCTTAAACTGAGACATAAAAAGATAAACATTTCCAACATCTTGCATAATCCAGGCATAGCCAAAGCCAAACTGGAATAAGATATGTTATATTTTAGTGGCCCAGGAAGTTCTGTTCACGCAGTCCCATCCTTCAGCATTAGATATGTTTGCTTCGGAGTCGGCCATTATTCATAGTGACTAGTTTAGACCAATATTTTTCACATTTTGTTACATAGGTGGGAAATAATAGAGGTCGACCACTTTCTCCAAGAACAGCATCATTACAAGCACTCAGAGGCAGACACAGAATTCTTTTTATATACTTAGTCTGAACTCTCTCAAGTTCGGAGCCGTATGTTAGGATGGGCAGAACCATGCTATCAAAAATCTTTAGTGCAGTCGTAACTGGTAAGCCACCACACATAGTGTGCAATCTGTATAGGAGTAAGCATACTTTCTCCGCCTGTTTTGCCAACAACTGTTTTGATCTCGTCCAAACCAGTTTAGGTGTAAAATAAAGACCAAGATAAAAGGAGACGGTTTCGATCTGAGAGCCCTGTCCGTGTAATACCATTTTTCATACTGCCCTCCACGAAGCCCAAAATCATGGCCAAGAATCAAAATTGGGTACAGAATCTTCATCAAAAGATATTTCAATATCTGGTTAAGCCATGATGAAAGAAAGATATTCGACACCCTGTTCCCCACCCGCCATGGAGTGTCATCAAGGACAGTGTTGTGTGAGTGAGTGAGTGAGTGAGTGAGTGAGTGAGTGAGTTGGGTTTAACGCTGCTTTTAACAGTATTCCAGTTATATCACGGCGTGTCAGGTTAATGTGGGAGGAAAGCCCGAAGTGATGCAGATGGGTGAAACCCACTGACAAACCTAGAACCTGGTGCTGACAAACCTAGAAACATAATCGGGGCAAACCGGGATTCGAACCCACGATCATAGGTTTCTCGCGTGACCAAGGAACGCAACTCTGCACAGCGAATAGCGAATAGCGGCGCCTTAGATGACAGGGCCACCTGTGCCCCCCAGTGTTGTAGTGAGGCCGACACTCACACCAGGTTACAAAGGTGCTATACTCCAGCATAAAGGACAGGTAGCCAAATTGTCAAACAGTGTAAAAGTCAGGCTGGTTCAGCCCAAGACAGTTATCTGAAGACAAATAGTACTCGGAGGTCAATAATTGCCAGATTGGCCACCGCCTTCTGGCACATGACTCTAGGCAAAATTAATCATAACATGACTTTTTAGGTT